TGTTAGAAAATAAGTCGTAGATCCATGAAATACTGACTGGGCACTGGGAACGACAAAGCAACTGAGACACGAATGCCAAGCACTGAGCAGATTGGCCTTCACCTCATTCTAGTGATTTTCAATCTAAGAAACGAGCCCTATATACTAATATGAAAACAAAGTATGACTGAATAAAGATGATCGATATATATTATTGGCCCAGTCATTGCAATCAATAACTATTTCACATTATAGAACTCAGGCCCCCATCACCTCACAGCCTGCATAGACTACACTACACTGGTAACAGCAGAGTGTCCTTGGAAACAGACCTAATATGTGTCCATTTTCAGACGGCGCCAAGAGGTTCATACAAAAAAAAAGGCCCTTGGACAAGCTGGAGTTGGACCTAGGCCCTGTTTCATGAAACTTTTTATCAATAACAAGTTACAATAACTCTGATATGCTACTAAAAGTGTGGCATTTGGTTGACTGAGAGCAAATTTGTCATAACAATTTAGCATTTGTTATTGATAACAAGTTTTATGAAACAGGCCCCTGGAATACTCACGAGGCCCTGAATGGCTTGGGAGATGGTAGCCGATGTACGGTACTGCCATGGTTCTGCAAAACCATCGGGAACAGGTTTATAGAAGGCATAGCTTATAAGGACTCCCATTCCCGCAAGGAATGTGAGTAGTTTTGTCCTGGTCCTCATGATGATCGTTCATAAAGTTATATACTTAATTTATAAAGTATACCGTTTACAGGTAGGCTACAAAGCCTTGCAATAGATCACCTACATGCATATAGGCTACCCTTAGAGCTCATCCGGGTGTGTCAATATTTGGGGCCTTTGTACTTTGACCCGTTTAGACCGTGGGCCGAGCGCGATTTTCCTTCCAGTTCGTTGCATAGATTCCGGTACAAGATTTAGATAATGTTAATAAAAAGATAAAAATACACAAATCCCAAATCAGCTTATTCCTGCGAATGAGTCCTTGTCGTTCGTATAAAACATAAGTTTAATTGACAAGTTATTTAAGAGAAATGTGCGTGAACGAGACCGCCAACTCTCCGTTCGTACACGTGTATTAAATCACCGTGCGACGAGAGTGAAACAGCACATTCTCCGTCGTACGAAGAAATTATGTAATCCATTCGAATATTTCCCAAAGCCAATCACATTTGCTGATGTAAATAATATGATTTTGCAAATATTAACTGCGAAAACTAATGAAAACCTCGTCAGGGTGAAAATATTTCGAAAATGAGGGGTCATAGCTACCATGAAACAGACGAGAAATAGCACGTTGCCAATTTGATATTATTGTAAGGATCGTATGCAATTCTCTTGAATGTACACTGATCTGTGTAGAGATCAGTGGCTCCGTACTGACAAGACTCGAGTTAGTATTGTGTAATTAAAACTTTTGATGAAAATTTTTCTTGTATTAGCGATGCAATGGTAGTTTAAGAATAGACCTACAGAATTAGAGTCCCTAAATATTCATTGTAATTATAAAAAAAAGATATATGTCTTTTTTATTTCCATTCCTGTAGTAGTTTTTACATGTTTTCAAATGTTTGAATTTTTTAGAAGTTTTAGATTTTTTTTTTTTTTTTGGGGGGGGGGGGGAGACACGCTTAATAAGGTATACGGGATGTGGGTGACTTTTCTTTCCTGGAGGAAGAAATATGACAATGTTTATTCAAAATTACACTGCATTCACTGGCTTAAAAATTGATAACAGATACTTGCTGAGGTATATATGTGAAGTGTACAGAATGAAAAACTGTTCGCGACAGTGAAAACTGTTGGCAAACTTTCCAGCAACCTCTTACGAACCCTGGCGAAACCCCAAATTCGCTTCATTTGCAACTTGCAAGCATTCGCCACTCAGCGAGATACCCCCTTATGGGGCTTTCACATATACACTCCGGGGCCCGTACGGCGAGTAAAAACAGACATTTTGGGAATTTTCGGCCGGTGGCCGGCCGGCTACCGTAAAGATCCTACGGGCGCCGGGACAATTTTTGAAGCCGTACGGGCGCCGTGGTGCTGAGTCGGCTGCTCCCAATTCTCCCGGCGTTTTTATCTGACCGTTAGGTCGTAGAGAGCCCGTGAAGGGCCCGCAGGGCACCTTACGGGTCCCGTGCGGGCTCCGGACGGTGTTCGGACGGGCCCCTCACGATTTTTGGGGGTCAATTCTCATGAAAAATCTTTACGGGAACCTTGAGGTGCGGATTTCAGAGGACACATAGTTCAGTGCACCTCACGGGACCCGGCCGGGCGCCTTAAGGACCCCGGCCGCTCCCGGCAGGGCACCTTGAGGACCCCGGCCGGGTCCCGGCAGGGCACCTTCCGGGAGCCACGGGTGCACCTGCTCATTGGACGGAGCACGTAAGCTTACCGGCCGGCATCCTTACGGGCGCCTTGCATTTCACTCGACCAATTTTCACCGGGCACCTCCCGGGCGCCGCAGAATATGTGACCACACATGCCGTAGAAAAGAAAATCGGAAGGTTCCCGTACGGTCTCTAAATCCACGGCAAGCCGCCGGGTAGGGAAAATCGTACGGGGCCCGGTTTATATGTGACCTAGGCATAAATGGGGCTTTCACATATACACTCCGGGGGCCCGTACGGCGAGTAAAAACAGACATTTTGGGAATTTTCGGCTGCCGACAAGTTCCTACGGGCGCCGGGACAGTTTTCTAAGCCGTACGGGCCCCGTGGTGCTGAGTTGGCTGCTCCCAATTCTCCCGGCGTTTTTAACTGACCGTTAGCCCGTAGAAAACCCGTAAAGGGCCCGTGAGGCACCTTACGGGTCCCGTGCGGGCTCCGGACAGTGCCCGGACGGGCCCCTTACGAATTTTTTCTTCAATTTTAATTAAAAATATTTACGGGCACCTTGCGGTGCTCAAGGGTTCCGTACGTGTACCCTACGGCGCCCTCACGGGCCCCTCAAGAGCCCCGGGTGATATGCACAACAACAGGCGTCTGCCGTCCGGGGGCCATTTAAAATGAATATTGCCCGTGCGGGTCCCTCACGGCGGCATCTCGAAATGTACAACGCAGATTTAAAAACAGGAGGTACGGATACCAGAGGACACATACAGAGTGAGTCAGAAAAAATGTCCCACTTTTTAAAAGTTGTATTGTTTGAAGTATGAATATTTAATGATGAGTTTTATGATATATGTCTTGATAGAGTTATCCTCCCAGTACATTTAGGTACCATTTTCATTTGAATTTCTGCATGCATGACTGAACATCAGACAATCTTTACAAGACTGACAAATCTCACTTGTGCCAAGTTGCTAGGTGAGGAACAAAATAATGTTTTGAACAAAGACAGCCATTTTGTTCAATTATCCAATCAGCCAGACAGACAAAAACACACAAATACACGCACCCCCCACACTCACACATATATATATATATATATATATACCAACATGCACAGGCACACGTCCACAAATGAGTATTCCATTCCCGACAAGGCCTACCAAAACTGTTACTTTTTGTCGGGAATTCTTCTTATCGTACGAAAAGTTGAGTGGCCGCTGTCCTCTTGGTGCGTATTGGCGGATGTTGTGCTAGATGATGATGATGGTGATGATGATGATGATGATGATGAAGATTAAGATGATGACAATGATGACATGATCGTGGTAGTGAATGTGTTTAAAAGGGAAAGATTTTTACTTTAGGGTTATGCCACTTAAACATTCAGCGATCTTGATAAAAATCAATGCTCAATCAGAAAAGGGGCAATTATGAAATAATTGTCACCGTGTGTGTTGTGTGTGTGCGTGTTGGTGTGTGCACGTGTCTGACTGTCTTTGTCCAATGCATTGTTTTATTCCTCACCAAGTAACTTGGCGCAAGTGAGATCTGGCAGTGTCTGATATTCAGTGATGCATGCAGGGATTCAAATGAAAATGGTACCTAAATGTACTGGGAGGATAACTCTATCAAGACATATATCATGAAACCCATGATTAAATATTCATACTTCAGACAATACAACTTTTAAAAAGTGGGACATTTCTTCTGACTCACCCTGTAGTTCAGTGCACCGCACGGCACCCGGCCTGGCGCCTTGAGGACCCCGGCCGGGAGCCATCGGTACACCTGCTCATCGGACGGAGCCCGTAAGGTTACCGGTCGGCACCCTGCCGGCACCTTGCCGGCAACCTGCCGGCACCCTTACGGGCGCCTTGCATTCACTCGACCAATTTTCTCCGGGCACCTCCCGGGCGCCGCATAATATGTGAACACACATGCCGTAGAAATGAAAATCGGACGGTTCCCGTACGGTCTCTAAATCTACGGCAAGCCGCCGGGTAGGGAAAATCGTACGGGGCCCGGTTTATATGTGACCTAGGCATTATACTCATGGATGATATAAGGTGAACAAGTACAAAAGCAAGAACTAGATTAAGAAGAAGAAGAAAATGAAAGAGGAGGAGGTGAAAAAGAAATTGAAATATATCTTTTAGAATTGAGATTTTGATATTAATAAATCAACAGATGGAGACACACTTTTAATCTCTTAAAACATTTCTGTCTATTCTCATCCCCTCTTACTTTCTCTTAGCCCCCAATTATTCTTTTCCCCATCCTCTCTCTCTCCCTCTCTCTCTTCTCTTCGCCCCTCTCCATCTCTGCTCTCTTTTCTCTCCAATTTTATTTTCCCCCTTCTGTCTCCCATGTTCTTCGCGTCTTCTTTTCTTTGCCCCTCTCCCCTTTTCACACCACATTCTTTGTTTTCCCCTCTGTTTTCTCAATTTATATGTCCTTTCGATATCATCCCCTCTTCCCTTGTTTCCTTCTTCCTTCTTTCTCTTCACCTCCCTTCTCATTCGGCTTTCTCGTCACCCCTTTCAGTCCATTTTCACCCCTTTCCTCTCTTTCTCTTTGCATCACCTCCCCCTATATATCGACACTACCTCAATATCTTATTGTAATATCTCAGTGATGCAAATGAATAAAACAATCCCATCAATACAATATTCTCTTGACTTATATAAATTATTTACATTTTATTTATAATATCAAATTCAATCAGGCATATAACGGAGCAAAATAATATTAATATATTAACTTCATAATAACCCGCGTGATCTGATACAGGTATGAGATTTATTTCAGATATAAACTTAATCTATCAAGAATAGACCATATATACTGTCACGATTATTTCATAAGAAGTGGGAAGAAAAAATATTGACAATTTAGGGAATATACATACATTGAGAAAATAATTCTCACGATCAACATATTTAGAGATTGAATATCTACTCTTTTATCAAAGATGCTCTTTTGTATATTCGATAAAATCTTCGGCCATCTGTCGCCCGATTTCATATGAATTATCTCCAAACCATGGAATGCCATGAAAACCGTCTTCATAATTCACCCACTTCACTGGCACGCCCGCATATTCCAGCCTCTTTGCATAGAATATCCCGTCATCGCGTAAACAGTCGTATCCGAACGTCGCGACGAACGCGCGGGGCAATTTGGAAAAGTCTTCGCGATAGAGAGGCGAATACTTCGTCGAGGTCAAAGCGTCCTTCATGTTCTTCCATAGCTCGTCATCACCGAAGTCTGATGTCGGAGGGACATAGCAATCCGGCTTCATATCAGCTGGGATGAGATCATGGCTGAGATGCTTCTGATAGAATTCCGATTGTTTGAAGGCAGCCGATGTGTGGTTGTTCGCATAGATCTGCTGTCCGAGGTGCTCGTCCACACTGCCAAAGGTGTATGCAGTGACGAAGTATGGCATAAGACCTATCATGTCTACAGTTTGTCCGAAACCACCGTGCTGGCATCGTATCTTCTGCATGGATGGGGTGTTGTGGTCGAAGCTCTGAAGCCATGGGTAGATGAGTACCTGGAGTTTGATGTCGGGCAAGGAAGGCTCGTCCGAGATCGCCCCAGACACAAGGGCGGCGAGGAGACCACCGGCACTATCCCCTATCAGGGCTACTCTCGTTGGATCAACGCCGAACTCGTCAGCGTGGCGTAGGAACCACTTCGTGGCTGCAAAGGCGTCGTCGAATGCAGCTGGGAACACGTGTTTAGGTGCTAGTCGGTATCTAAACAAGTAGGAAACAAGTCAAATTGATAACTCGATCAAAAATCTCCAAAGTCTCCAAGTCAACGTCAAACCGGTCAATGGAAATAATGTAATTTCTTGTTTGGTCTGTTGTCGGTCTGGTGCGACTGCGGTATAAACTTGGTTGGACACATAGTTTTATATTATAAAAATGCAATCTTCATAAGATAATTCGATGATTTGAATTATCAACTCAGCTTCTTACTTAGTTTCTCGGACGACTGTTTCACAGAGTGTTACTTGAATATTTTGAATGGGTTGGTGGCCGTTGGGTTGATTTTGCTAACAGAATAATCATGTTTGAAGGTTCTCAAATTTCCCAATTGATGACAACAAAGGAAATTGTATATATCTTGAGCGTAAGGACCTACCTTGAATCTATAAAAATAGTCTCTTCCTCCTTATAATAATGTCCTAAATACCACGAAATTGGTTTAAAATAATGATGAATAACTTACGTGACGGCAATCCCAACAGCGTGTATTCTTTCGGAAATCATCCGGACAGCAGGATCGTAATAAGCTAGAACGAGTTCAAGGTAATTCGGATTTTAAAAAAATGAGGAGAAGAATTGATACGATATGAAAGAAACGTAAACAAAACCTTTAATGATTAATAGTATTTTGAAACGGTTAGGTGTTAGGCGTAAGACACATACTGTTCATTGGTTGATTTGATATCGTTTCCAAGTTCAACCGGGCTGATTTGGTGACGATCATCCACTATTTCGGCAGCACGGTCAACAGCGCTGATTTTCGGCGGGCGGATTTTTCTTATCTATTTTTAATTTATTGTTTTGGTTTTTATTACTGATTTATGTAAATTACAGTTTGCTTGATTTTAATAATCCTGACAAAATATTTGGTTAACGTACTGGAAGAGTTAACATGCATTCTTACCGATGTTGCCAGTCACCAGACCTCCACCGTGAAAGTACAAGAATGCAGGGAGATCCCCTTCGCCGTCTTTCTCGATTGGCTCGTACACCCTCACCCTGATACCATCGAATGACGTCACTCGTGATCTGATGTTTGACCCAGGTACCTCTTCCGGTGGATCCCCAACCAAGGTTTCAAGTATGCTAAATGTCTCCATAAGCTCCTCGAAGATGGTTGGGCAACGACGGTCCCACACACACATCCTAACGTAATTCTGTTGTACAAAATAAGTATGTGTCAGATCAATGACAAAGCTAAGGTGGGGGGGGGCATGCATCCCCAAATCGAATCCCCCCCCCCCCCCAAAAAAAAAAAAAAATAATAATAATAATAATAATAATAATAAATAAATAAATAAATAAAATAAAAAAATAAGGAAAGAAAAAGAGGGAAAGGGAGAAACAGAGAGTGAAAGATCAAAGAGGGACATGGGAAAGACAAAATGAAGACAATCTGTACGTCTCTCTCTCTCTCTCTCTCCGGTACCGTCACTTTAAGGCCTTGATCTTTCACATTTATTCAACTGGTATAACAGACTGGTGCCCCATGACTCTAGAGCTCACCCCTCTCCATCCCAAAATAGTACGATCCACGCTTCGCCAGTGTTGCAGATGACAGCAGATGACAATTTGATTACTGAGAGACGATACAGCTTAGGGTAAGGCCTTACAATGATTGAGTAAAAGCAGTGATTTAGTTACTTCATCATTATAAGTGTGTACAGCAGAAATAGTTTTTTAGAATCTTTGCATCTCGTTCCTCTTTCATTTTCCCCATTATCTCTCACAGATTGTTAACCTGCTCAGGGACGGATCCAGGGGGGCACAGGGAGCACGTGCCCCCGGCCAAAATGTCCTCTTACCCGTTGTTGTTAGAAAATAAGCCGTAGATCCATGAAATACTGACTGGGCACTGGAACGACAAAGCAACTGAGACACGAATGCCAAACACTGGCCTTCACCTCATTCTATATGTGATTTTCAATCTAAGAAACGAGCTCTATATACTAATATGAAAACAAAGCATGACTGAATCCCGCGCTCCCCCCCCCCCCCCCCCCCCCCACCTCCGAGAACGGAAGGACTTCATGCGTATTACCAAAATGTCCGGTAAATGGGTACTTTTCGTGCGACAAAGTCCGGCCCGAGAATTGTAAAAAAAAAAGGGGTGTATTAACTTTTCACCCGGAGATTTCTTTAAAAAGGGGGTGTTTTTTTTTTTTTTTTTTGTCTCAGCTCTTTTGACTCCTGAGAAATTATTCCGAATTTAGGGGGGGGGTACATTGAGCATTTTTCATGATTTAGGGGGGTCTCCAAGGCAGGAAAAGCCCGCGAAAAGCCCGCGAAAGGGGGGTTCGGAAATGTTGGCAGTCCTCTGATAGGGGGTGCTTTAAAAAAGAGGGAACACGCATATGCGTACCCTAAATAACACTGAGTGGGGGGGGGGACTGAATAAAGATGATCGATATATATTATTATCCTGGTCATTGCGATCAATAACTATTTCACATTATAGAACTCAGGCCCCCATCACCTCACAGCCTGCATAGGCTACACTGGTAACAGCATAGTGTCCTTGGAAACAGACCTAATATGTGTCCATTTTCAGACGGCGCCAAGAGGTTCATACAAAAAAAAGGCCCTTGGACAAGTTGGAGTTGGACCTAGGCCCTGTTTCATGAAACTTGTTATCAATAACAAGTAACAAAAACTCTGATACGCTACTAAAAGTGTGGCATTTGATTGACTGAGAGCAAATTTGTCATACCAATGTAGCATTTGTTATTGATAACAAGTTTAATGAAACAGACCCCTGGAATACTCACGAGGCCCTGAATGGCTTGGGAGATTGTAGCCACTATACGGTACTGCCATGGTTCTGCAAAACCATCGGGAACAGGTTTATAGAAGGCATAGCTCACAAGGATTCCCATTCCCGCAATGAAGGTGAGTAGTTTTGTCCTGGTCCTCATGATGATCGTTCATAAAGTTATATACTTAACTTATAAAATATACCGTTTACAGGTAGGCTACAAAGCCTTGCATTAGATGTCATCACCTGCATGCATCTACCGTTAGAGCTCAGCCCGGGGTGTGTCAGTATTTGGGGCCTTTGTACTTTGAACCGTTGTTCTTTGTACCGTACATCGCAAGTTCGTTTAACTTTGTACCGTACAATATGCAAGTCATGTATCTCACTGAGCGGCGAATGCTTACGAACGTTGCGAACTTTGGACCCGCCAATTTTTCTGACGAATGTTGGTGAAAATCAGTGTTCGCCTCTGCGACATTTAGCGACTTTTAGCGAGGTTCAGCGACAATTAGCAATATTTATTTTGAGCGAATGTTTGCGAAAGCGTTTGCAAAGGGCAGTGAGCGACTATTTAGGACTGTAAGGGAATATAAGCGACTTTTTCGCGAAGATTAGCAACTATTTGCCAATCCTTTGCCATTACTTTTGTGAATGTGTGGGACGCTTTTATGTTGGCCATACGATCACGTGGTCGCTAGCATTGGCGAATCAAAAAGAACTTTAGTGACACCGTTTTAAAACCGTTTGCAAAGGCTTACGACTGTTTTACAAACGCTTGCAATATTTGTGGAAAAATAAACTCGCAAAGAAAAACTGTTCGCGACAATGAAAACTGTTGGCTAACTTTCTTGCAACCTATTACGAACCCTGGCGTAACCCCAAATTCGCTTCGTTTGCAACTTGCAAGCACTCGCCACTTAGCGAGATTCCCCCTTAACTCATGGATGATATAAGGTGAACAAGGGCAAAAGCAAGAACTAGATTAAGAAAAAGAAGAAAAAGAAGGAGGAGGAGGTGAAAAAGAAATTGAAATATATCTTTTAGAATTGAGATTTTGGTATTAATAAATCAACAGATGGAGACACACTTTTAATCTCTTAAAACATTTCTGTCTATTCTCATCCCCTCTTACTTTCTCTTTGCCCCCATCCTCTCTCTCTCTCTCTCTCTCTCTCTATCTCTCTCTCTCTCTCTTTCTCTTCGCCCCTCTCCATCTCTGCTCTCTTTTCTCTCCAATTTTATTTTCCCCCTTCTGTCTCCCATGTTCTTCGCGTCTTCTTTTCTTTGCCCATCTCCCCTTTTCACACCACATTCTTTATCTTTCCCTCTGTTCTCTCAATTTATTCGTCCTTTCTATATCATCCCCTCTTCCCTTGTTCCCTTCTTCCTTCTTTCTCTTCACCTCCCTTCTCATTCGGCTTTCTCGTCACCCCTTTCATTCCATTTTCACCCTTTTTCTCTCTTTCTCTTCGCATCACCTGCCCCTATATATCGATTCTACCTCAATATCTTCTTGTAATATATCAGTGATGCAAATGAATAAAACAATCCCATCAATACAATATTCACTTGACTTATTATTTACATTTTATTTATGATATCAAATTCAATCAGGCATATCACGGAGCAAAATAATATTCATATATTAACTTCACAATAACCCGCGTGATCTGATACAGGTATGAGATTTATTTCAGATATAAACTTAATCTATCAAGAATAGACCATACTGTCACGATTATTTCATAAGAAGTGGGAAGACAAAATATTGACAATTTAGGGAATATACATACATTGAGAAAATAATTCTCACGACCAACATGATTAGAGATTGAATATCTACTCTTTTATCAAAGATGCTCTTTTGTATATTCGATAAAATCTTCGGCCATCTGTCGCCCGATTTCATATGAATTGTCTCCAAACCATGTAATGCCATGAAAACCGTCTTCATAATTCACCCACTTCACCGGCACGCCCGCATTTTCCAGCCTCTTTGCATAGAATATCCCGTCATCGCGTAAACAGTCGTATCCGAACGTCGCGACGAACGCGCGGGGCAATTTGGAAAAATCTTCGCGATAGAGAGGCGAATACTTCGTCGAGGTCAAAGCGTCCTTCATGTTCTCCCATAGCTCGTCATCACCGAAGTCTGATGTCGGAGGGACATAGCAATCCGGCTTCATATCAGCTGGGATGAGATCATGGCTGAGATGCTTCTGATAGAATTCCGATTGTTTGAAGGCAGCCGATGTGTGGTTGTTCGCATAGATCTGCTGTCCGAGGTGCTCGTCCACACTGCCAAAGGTGTATGCAGTGACGAAGTATGGCATAATACCAATCATGTCTACAGTTTGTCCGAAACCACCGTGCTGGCATCGCCCCTTCTGCATGGATGGGGTGTTGTGGTCGAAGCTCTGAAGCCATGGGTAGATGAGGACATGGAGTTTGATGTCGGGCAAGGAAGGCTCGTCCGAGATCGCCCCAGACACAAGGGCGGCGAGGAGACCACCGGCACTATCCCCTATCAGGGCTACTCTCGTTGGATCAACGCCGAACTCGTCAGCGTGGCTCAGGAACCACTTCGTGGCTGCAAAAGCGTCGTCGAATGCAGCTGGGAACACGTGTTTAGGTGCTAGTCGGTATCTAAACAAGCAGGAAATAAGTCAAATTGATAACTCAATCACAAAGCTAAACTGTCTCCAAGACAACGTCAAACTGGCCAATGGAAGTAATGTAATTTCTTGTTTGGTCTGTTGTCGGTCTTTTTTGGCATCGTTGGTGTGGCTGTGGCATATGAACTTGGTCGGACACATAGTTTTAAATTATAAAAATGCAATCTTCATAAGATAATTCGATGATTTGAATTATCAACTCAGCTTCTTACTTAGTTTCTTGGACGACTGTTTCACAGAGTGTTACTGGAATATCTTAAATGGGTTGGTGGCCGTTGGGTTGATTTTGCTAACAGAATAACCATGTTTGAAGGTTCTCAAATTTCCCAATTGATGACAACAAAGGAAATTGTATATATCTTGAGCGTAAGGACCTACTTTGAATCTATAAAAATTGTCTCTTCCTCCCTATAATAATGTCCTAAATACCACGAAATTGGTTTAAAATAATGATGAATAACTTACGTGACGGCAATCCCAACAGCGTGTACTCTTTCGGAAATCATGCGGACAGCGGGATCGTAAAAAGCTAGAACGAGTTCAAGGTAATTCGGATTTTAAAAAAATGAGGAGAAGAATTGATACGATATGAAAAAAAAACTTAAACAAAACCTTTAATGATCATTAAGTATTTTGAAACGGTTTGGTGTTAGGCGTAAGACACATACTGTTCATTGGTTGATTTGATATCGTTTCCAAGTTCACCGGGCTGATTTGGTGACGATCATCTACTATTTCGGCAGCACGGTCAACAGCGCTGATTTTCGGCGGGCACATTTTTCTCATCTATTTTTAATTTTGTTGTTTTGGTTTTTATTACTGATTTATGTAAATTACAGTTTGCTTGATTTTAATAATCCTGACAAAATATTTGGTTAACGTACTGGAAGAGTTAACATGCATTCTTACCGATGTTGCCAACCGCCAGACCTCCACCGTGAAAGTACAAGAATGCAGGGAGATCCCCTTCGCCGTCCTTCTTGTTTGGCTCGTACACTCTCACCCTGATACCATCGAATGACGTCACTCGTGACCTGATGTTTGACCCAGGTACCTCTTCCGGTGGATCCCCAACAAAGGTTCCAAATATGCTAAATGCCTCCACAAGCTCCTCGAAGATGTTTGGGCAACGACGGTCCCGCACACACATCCTTACGTAATTCTGTTGTACAAAATAAGTATGTGTCAGATCAATGGCGAAGCTAAGGTGGGGGGGGGGCATGCCGAAAGGCCCACAAAATTAATAAGGAAAGAAAAAGCGGGAAAGAAAAGAAACAGAGAGTGAAAGATCAAAGAAAGACATGGTAAAGACAAAATGAAGACAAGCTGTACGACTCTCTCTCTCTCTCTCCGGCACCCTCACTTTAAGGCTTTGATATTTCGCATTTACTGATTTAACTGGTAAAACAGACTGGTGCCCCGATGAATCCAGAGCCCACCCCCCCCCCCCCCCCCCCCCCAAGTACGATCCACGCTTCGCCAATGTTGCAGATGACAATAATGTCTTCTTTTTTTTTAACTCTTATGATTCAATGACAATTTGATTACTGAGGGACGATACAGCTAAGGATCAGGCCTTAGAAATGATTGTGTTAAAGCAGTGAATTAGTTACTTCATCATTATAAGTGTGTACAGCAGAAATAGTTCTTTAGACTCTTAGAATCTTGTTCCTCTTTCGTTTTCCCAATTATCTCTCACAGATCGCTAGCCTGCTTGTTATATTTTTACCACATCAGGACTTATTCATTCAATGTTGTTTTCCTTTGCTTGCAATGCAACTAACCCGGATATTTGGGTACCGTTTTGCTATATAAGAGACAGTGTGACACCCGCTTCGTGAACATAATACATTTATTAACTTCTTGTTTTCTAGATATTATGATTGGAGCACTGGAGTCACGAGGACACCAGCCTATGATATCCGTTGTATAAAATGCAATATATCAAGGGCCTAAAGTGAGGGGTGAGAGGGAGTCGTATCAACTTGTTTCATGTTGTTTTTACCCTTGGTCTGTGTACGATGTCTGATCTGTTTCTTTTTCTTTTCTAAAGCTTGTCATTTTAGTGTGGAAATGAAATCTTAATTGTCATCGAAATTGATACAATAGTCCCATTAGAAATAGTTTATATTTACGGTTCGTAAAGAAATGGCTAGAAATGCCATCTCAACTATCACACATAGCAGCCTTGGCCTAGATATTCCACAAATATCTCAGATCTATTCAGAATTTCACTACCTATGCTTAGCCCATGGTCTCACGAGAGCGCACAGATGACAAAAGTAGAAAAAATATGAAATGAAAAATCGAATCCGTCGTAAAAGAGGACAAAACAAAGTATGGGAACAAGATATACAACTTTTGGTATTGCAGGGTCAGTTCCTAGCGTTGGTGTTAGAAAATAAGTCGTAGATCCATGAAATACTGACTGGGCACTGGGAACGACAAAGCAACTGAGACACGAATGCCAAGCACTGAGCAGATTGGCCTCACCTCATTCTATATGTGATTTTCAATCTAAGAAACGAGCCCTAAAAAGAAAACAAAGTATGACTGAATAAAGATGATCGATATATATTATTGGCCCAGTCATTGCAATCAATAACTATTTCACATTATAGAGCCTAGGCCCCCATCTCACCTCACAGCCTGCATAGACTACACAACACTGGTAACAGCAGAGTGTCCTTGGAAACAGACCTAATATGTGTCCATTTTCAGACGGCGCCAAGAGGTTCATACAAAAAAAAAGGCCCTTGGACAAGTTGGAGTTGGACCTAGGCCCTGTTTCATGAAACTTGTTATCAATAACAAGTTACAATAACTCTGATACGCTACTAAAAGTGTGGCATTTGATTGACTGAGAGCAAATTTGTCATACAAATTTAGCATTTTGTTATTGATAAAAAGTTTTATGAAACAGGCCCCTGGAATACTCACGAGGCCCTGAATGGCTTGGGAGATTGTAGCCGATGTACGGTACTGCCATGGTTCTGCAAAACCATCGGGAACAGGTTTATAGAAGGCATAGCTTATAAAGATTCCCATTCCCGCAAGGAATGTGAGTAGTTTTGTCCTGGTCCTCATGATGATCGTTCATAAAGTTATATACTTAACTTATAAAGTATACCGTTTACAGGTAGGCTGCAAAGCCTTGCAATAGATGTCATCACCTGCATGCATGTACCGTTAGAGCTCAGCCGGAGTGTGTCAATATTTGGGGCCTTTGTACTTTGAACCGTTGTTCTTTGTACCGTACATCGCAAGTTCGTTTAACTTTGTACCGTACAATATGCAAGTCATGTAACTCAGTGAGCGGCGAGTGCTTCGAGCGTTGCGAACTTTGGGCCCGCCAACTTTTCTGACGAATGTTGGCGAAAATCAGTGTTCGCCTCTGCGGCATTTAGCGACTTTTAGCGATGTTTAGCGACAATTAGCAACATTTGTTTTGAGCGAATGTTTGCGAAAGCGTTTGCAAAGGGCAGTGAGCGACTATTTACGACTGTAAGCGAATGTAAGCGATTTTTTCGCGAAGATTAGCAACTATTTGCCAATCCTTTGCCACTATTACTTTTGTGAATGTTTGGGACCTTTTATGTTGGCCATACAGTCACGTGGTCGCTAGCATTGGCGAATCAAAAAGAACTTTAGTGACACCGTCTTAAAACCGTTTGCAAAGGCTTACGACTGTTTTGCAAACGCTTGCAATATTTGCGGAAAAATAAACTCGCAAAGAAAAACTGTTCGAGACAATTAAAACTGTTGGCAAACTTTCTTGCAACCTTTTACGAACCCTGGCGAAACCCAAATTCGCTTCGTTTGCAACTTGCAAGCATTCGCCACTCTGCGAGATACCCCTTTAAGGGCCTGAGCGGCGAATGCTTGCGAACGTAGCGAATTTGGGGTTTCGCCAGAGTTTGTAAAATGTTGTGAAAGGTTGCAAGAAAGATCGCAAACAGTTTTCTTTGTTGCAAACAGTTTTCTTGTCGCAAAGAAATTTTGAACATGTTCAAAATTTCTTTCCGAATTTATTTTTCCGCAAACAGTTGCAGGCGTTTGCAAAACAGTCGTTAGCGTTTGCAAAACAGTCGTAAGCCTTTGCAAACGGTTGTTAAACAGATTTGCTCTTTGTTTTCGTCAGTTCTCTGTGTTTCGCCAAAGCTAGCGACCACGTTACCATATGGTTCCTTTATAAAAATCGATCCATTGAGTACCAGGAAGGAAGGAATTCCTTGAAATGCTGTGAGCGTCGGCAGCCTAGCATAGCCGGGTAATGTTGGAGCGCCTTGAGGACCTTGCAAGGTCGATACGTGCGCCATATAAGAATCCAATATTATTATTATCATTATTACCAGTAGTTAGCAAAAGGTCTCAAACGTTCACAAATAGTGGCAAAGGATTGGCAAATAGTTGCTAATCTTCGCAAAAGTTGTCGCTAACATTTGTTTACAGTCGCTAATAGTCGCCAACTGCCTTTCGCAAACACTTTCGGAGACATTCGCTCAAATGTTGCTAATTGTCGCTAAATGTCACTTAATGTCGCTGATTTTCGCCAACATTCGTCAGAAAAGTAGGCGAATCCAAATTCGCAACGTTCGCAAGCATTCGCTGCTCAGTGAGATAGGCCCTTAAGGAACTGAGATCATGGATGATATAAGGTGAATAAGAACAAAAGCAAAAACTAGATAAGAAGAAGAAGAATTAGAAAAAAAAGGAGAAGAAGAAGAAGAAGAAGAAGAAGAAGAAGACGAAGAAGGAGGAGAGGTGAAAAAGAAATTGAAATATATCTCTTAGAATTGAGATTTTGTTATTAATAAATCAACAGTTGGAGACACATGTTTAATCTCTTGAAACAATTGTCTATTCGCATCCCCTCTAAATTTCTCTTTGCCCCAATTTTTCTTTTCCCCATCCTCTCTCTCTTTCTCTCCCTCTTTCTCTTCGCCGGGCTCTCCATCTCTTCTGCTCTCTTTTCACTCCAATTCTCCGCTTTTCCTCTTCTCTCTCCCATGTTCTTCATGTCTTCTTTTCTTTGCCCATCTCCCCTTATCACACCGCATTATTTATCTTTCCCTCTGTTCTCTCAATTTATTCGTCCTTTCGATATCATCCCCTCTTCTCTTCTTCTCTTCTTCTTTCTTTCTCTTCACCTCCCTTCTCATTCGGCTTTCTTGTCACCCCTTTCAGTCCGTTTTCACCCCCTTTTCTCTCTCTCTCTTCGCATCACCTCCCCCTATATATCGACACTACCTCAATATCTTATTGTAACATCTCAGTGATGCAAATGAATAAAACAATCCCATCAATACAATATTCACTTGACTTATATACATTATTTACATTTTATTTACAATATCAAATTAAATCAGGCATATAACGGAGCAAAGTAATATTTCTATAATAATTTACTTCACATTAACCCGCGTCATCTGATACAGGTATGAGATTAATTACACTCTAAAATATAGGAATAATATTCACGTCAACATAATCAATATCTAGTTTGACTAGTCGTCTTTATACATCATTATTAGTACATCAATCGTTTCTTGAATACAAACTTGGCAGTAGGGTTGGCAGAATCATACTTCATAAATCATTAAATAATACAATATGGAAAAACTTATTATAGAGGCATATACAAAGATTTTTTTTCGTATGAAATTATTAGAGACATAGTTAGTTTCATCGTTGAATAAATGCCCGTGTTCATAAACTATACGCATTGTATGCTGTCATTTCGTTGATAATACCACATGTTATACTGTGTTCCGGAGTAGTTTGCTACCAAGGTCGTTTTTTTCACTTTGATAGCAGAATTACTGACAGAAACTAAAACAAATAATTTATAATCCATTCAGGACAGATTTTAAATGTAAAATTGACCTTTCCGCTACTCGTGCTATCAAGGTTGGATTTCCCTTTAAGTTTAAATGTGTGCTAATTAGTGGATAGCGAGATTATTAATGCCACTGTTGTACACTTGCAATGTAAATGATTTACATGCGGGTTTCACCGAAATAACCCCAATGTTAGAAAATTTATCAATAAAGTGGCTCCAGCCTAGCAATAACTGGCTTTTAAAAATGATAAGATAAGTGCACTTGAGAAATGGTTAAGTAGTTGCATCAATTATTAAGGTTTGTCCATACTACAGTGTTTTAGGCACAGGTGCACAATACTGTTAAGTCGATATCCATGTGCTATACCTTAAAAATCATAGAATGAAAAATTAGATGAAGGATATAAATCTTTGGCATACATTATCTAAATTGTATATCATAACTGTTCTTATAATAGCAAACAGAAATCGTGGGAACCAAATCTATCTCTTTGTATCTCAAAAGAAATTCAATGCATATAAACATTTCCTCTTATACCTTAAAAATGAGGGATATATTTATATCACCAATCTGGGCACACCCAACAGAAACTGCACACTGACTTGGTGTGAGTCTGAACGAAATTACGCCATCCAGTTCTTTTGTTTCAATAAATATATATTGATAGTTGGCAGGGTTGTGTTTTTAAATTATTGTATTAAATCGGGTTTAACTACTGGGCATATACAGATGAAGGTATACATGTAACACCTTAACATCTGTCTCATATGAAATTGTAGGTAAGAGGGATATAGCTCTTATACACCTTTCAAAAACATACATTTCTCTCGTGATTTTCATGACCCTGTCCCTTATCTACTCGGATAGTGCAATAGATTTGCTTCAATCTCGATAGAATGTTACGAGATCGGCTACCTCCAAAGAGGTCGTTAATACAGCCCTTTCGGACTTCTTGCCAGCAGCCGACATGAAAGCCCCCCTTGGCAAATAAAGTTTCTATTTTCACGAAAATATATCTTAATTTAACAAAATATCTCCCAATAAGGCACAATTTTCGATAATTTTGACCTTATATGTTTGAGAGCGGAAAAGGCTTAAAGCTTATCTGCCGTAGTTTATAGGAGGGATTAGACTGCCCTGCAAGGTCACTGGACAGGTGGTTATCTCATCAACTCAGCTCTCAGTTAACATAAGAAAAAGAGGACCATGGGGGAGCAATGGTCACCGATTAGGCATTGTTTGTTATATAGAGGGCGCAAGTAGCTGCAAGTAGTGCAGTGGGCCTTTAAAGTCAAAATCCTCAGGACTTTGCTCGTGGCATAGATTAGCGAAGTTGCGTGCGATCAATTTTATCAACCAATCAGATTTCGTTTTCGAACATCTGCAATCAATAGCTTGATTCCGATTGGCTTTCACTTCCTATTGAACAATGATCGGTCACGAAGTAAGAAATGTTTGTCATGTAAATTTTCCGACTTCTTTTTTAAATATCTCTATATTCAACTCATATAAATAAATCGATGAAAGTATTAATGCTTTCACTTTTTCCATCAAAGTTCAGTATTTTCATGATATAAAACAGCATTTTTTTAAATTCAACTTTGATACCGATATATAAAACATTCTTTGATACAAATAGATAGCATTATACAAAAATACAAGACATTCACAAACATGACAGTTATCAAAATAAACTCAATTTATGCGCGTTATCGCAAACTTTGCTCATCACTCCTCGGTCTCGTTTGCCATCTTGTTCTGACGTCACAGTCGTGTGACCTTTCGACCCCGCGAGCTGAAAGACTTCGCGGTAACTTGAGAGCCTGTTTCACACATCGGACTGCGCAGCGCCTCTCCAACCTCGCTTCTTTCTTTCTTAATTTCTGAACTTTTCCTGTAAATTTAAAAAAAAAAGGGTTTGAAATGATATTACTAGAATAGTTAAGAAGAACATGGAACGATTACTAGTTACTAGTACGCAGAAATGTCGCTGATCGATAAAAGTTCAGGAGTGATAAAAACTTAACGCTTTTAAAAATCAAATTCTTTACTAATGATTGTCATCTATCATTTTGTTTAATAATTAAAATGCATCTAATGCTGATCAAGCTGTAACTATAAATATAATGCCAGAGGTAGACTACCTCATAAATCCTACTACAGTTTCTTGAGTACCAAGAATTTATATTATAAAATATAATATATATAGATATAAGAGTTGGAAGGTTAAACTTTATTGGTTAGAGTTATACCAGACTGTTTATTGTTGTAATGTTATCTGACTCATAAATATGCATCAAATTCTTTATAAAAATCACTGCCCACTGTTTATCAATTTCTGGATACATGTATGCTTTAACAAACTGTATACGAATCCATGAGTAAGAAAAAAATTACCCCAAAATAAAGTGTTTACTGATAATTTTATTTCAGTAGCAACATTACAGCAAGATACACGTGCTGTAAAATGTTATTCATTCAAGAAAGTACAAATATATTTTTGTCGTCAGTTTGCAAGCGTAAAGTAGTACCCCTATAATAGGAGTCTGGTTTATAAATTCGTCTATTATATTGTTGTATAGGTATATTGATTGTAACTTACGTAATGTGGTTGCTCCGTGGAGTTGAAATCGCCCATCTCTATTTTCGGCATGCGCCCTCTGGAATCTTTCTGAAGAAACTTCTTCAATCACAAAATTGCTGATTTGACCTAAAAGTTGGACGAGAATAGAAAACAATCATTGGAAAGATCGATTAACATTTTTTCTTTATAAAGCAACAATTTCGAATTTCATCAGATTAGTTGGTGACATTCTGTTTCAATAGTTTGTTTGAAGGAGCCCAAAATCTGATCTATGAAGATTAGTCGATTACGGACTTGAAGAATCGCAATTATTTTGTGAATAATATTATATCGGTTTTCTTGTCGAGTTCAAATCCATCTTTGGAAATAAAACTTTTTAAACAAGATATTTTCTTCTAATTCACATATACCAGTCTTTGTCAGATATCAGAAAAGGAAAGTGGGCGAAAAAGATTTCAGCTCTTTTTTTTTACAGCTTTTTAAAGCACATTTTTAGACACTTTGTTGGTGATTAGATGAACTTGAATTGCGTTCAAACGCAGAGTAAATTTTTTTTAAGGGGAGAGGTAAAGAGAATACAAAATGCAGTTTTCCCACAATGAATGCAATCTTTTATCTTCAAGATACATCTAACTAAAGAATAAAACGTACCTTCACTAAACGTCCATTGTCTAATTTCCACCTGACTGGTAACTACGTTCTCCAGGGCGTACGTGAATGTTTGGGTGTGGTCAGTACCCGGGACCAGCTCTGGTTGGTATCGGTAGAGGAGGATGGTCTCTCTACCTCTCAAGCATAGTGGTGGGAGGGGCGTCGGCTCCACCTGTGACGTATCTGTGGTAGGAAATGAAATTTTGTCAGAGGAAACCTTATAGTTTTCCGTGACATGTACGGTTTTCTTTTATGAGATACTGTAAAAGTGGGTTATCGCCCTCTATGGGTTGGAAGGCTGACCTCACTTTTAGAAAGCTATCCAATAGAAATATTCATAGGCCTTTATATATGTCACAATTTATTTCGTTTGGTGTATCCTCCATTTTGGCAAAATGTGTCGATAAAAAGACTTCTATTGACGATAATGAACATTTTTTTATAGTCATAATTTGTACAAAATTAATCTATATAAGAGTAAAGACAAATCTGTTTATATAAGGTCGAGAGAAAAAAAAATCCCATTGACATGACATAGTTAATACATTGGAGCAATTTATATGACGTAAGGATGAAAAGTATATCCATATGGCTGAGCGAGGAACATATTTGCAATATCACATGTATGCTTTCCATAAACAAAGAAAGTGTCGTTGTCGTAGATGCACAACACAACTAGGAACTAATCACTTTTCATGATAAAAGTAAATCACAAAATACATCTGAGATTATACATTTGTTTAGTCGTCGTGGAATATAGTTTTTACCTGGGCACACTTTACAGCACTGCTTCGAGACGTATTGGGGGTTTCTGCATGGTAACTCATCATCTGATGGGCATGCCATTCGACTACAACTTGTTTGTCCGTCCTGAATAACACAGAGAATAAACAAATATGTAACTTATTACAACTAAAATATAAAGATAATTATAACAAACTAATAACGAATTGACAAAAGAGATGATGAAAGAGCTGCAATGAAATCAAAGAATAATCAGTTCTTACAGCGATCATAAATCGTAATATTTGAAATGGTTTGAATAAACTAAAGACACTGATATATCTAATATCAATCAACTACCACCGAGCAGTCAAATATGAAATAAATGATATTCCTATATCCTTGGTATCCAAAGAGAAATACGACGTTAAACAATAAAAGGAAGGCCCGGTTAAAATTTAGTTCAAATTTCCGACCTTTAATTATATCATGTTCAGGAACTAGAATCTTGTAGGACTATAAGAAACGAAGAAGAGAGGCTTGAACATGTCATCACGATCATAGTAGCCTACTTAATTATTACAAAATTAATAAAACAAAAAGTTTTAATATTACTCACTTGACAGCGGCATAAGATGCAATCAACTCGACCAAAAGGAAATAATATAGGATGCCACGTCTGGCCGTTTTGATAGGTCTTCCCGTTCGATTCACAAACTGAAAAAAGATAGAAAGATAAAAGAAAAGCATTTTATTATGATGTATGATTTCTCTTACTCAAATTACCCTTTAAATTCCGATGTAGATAATTATATCGTCCATTGAAAAGTAAAACATATATCAAATCTACGCCATAGCAGTTCATTGTATTCTTTTGCTCATAGTCAGAGGCATAGTTTCGAATGGCAAAAAGAATAAAAAGAAAAAGAGGAAGATAAACAAGCAGAGAGAGAGAGAGAGAGAGAGAGAAAGGGGAAAGAATGAAAGGAAATTGGGAAGGCAACGTAAAGAGAAGAAGCGATGCTCTCCACCTCACCACGCCCCCTATGACAATGATGGCACCAGTGCCCCCGTTAATGGCTGGACCCACGCTTCGCCAATCATCAAAGTATTATTTGGCCCTTTCTTTGTAATACTCCATGAGCTCTTTAGAACTCTAATCATGTATTTCAATTCGGCGCATCTAAAATAGACCATTCGTGTTCGAAAAAACAGATAGAAATTGATAAAGAGGACAGATCTTTCATGGGCATGACTCGCATGAACTCTCAAAGTCTTTCATTTTTCTCAGAATTCATGAAAATCTGAGATTTCCGACGGTGTCTTGACAGAAAGGTTTCCGAGGGGTTTAGGCACCTCCGGTGACTATCTAACCGCATACAGGCAGTCGCTAGATCCAGTCTAACAATTACCTTAAAGGAATTTAATGTTTCCAGTTGTACAATCTGAGATGCATGGCCCTACGTGTTATCAGTGTCTGTGATATGGTGTAATATTGAAGCCCTACAAAAATTGCTCTTCAAAATTATCATGAATTGCCTCAAAAAAGTAATAATCTTTGAGTGACCGGTTTTACTATATTCATTTACCCCAATAGACTGAAGTGTTATAAAAACCGATGGGAAAATGGTTTTTGGAATTTCGAATTCCAATCTGAAATATCTTGATAATCAGACAGGCGATCGGCTTGTAAAAGTCATGTGATTCCTGACTGACTTAAAGGTTTATGATTATGATTGCAGCATAAGCTAAATCCAGGATTTTGTTTAGAATGTGAGGCAAAGATACCCAATCCCTGAGAAAGTGAAACGTATTTCAACCTCTCCTATCATAGTCATAAAGATAAGCGTTTGAAGAAACCTTTCCGAGGGAAGAGGCGGGGTATATGCCATGAATGATAATTAAGCTAATTAGAATGCGCAATTCGATTTTCTTTTTCCAAGTTTTAAGTTTAACTCGCTATCTAAACTTTTTATCTCGACTCTTTTTCTGCTTAATTGGGGGGTGACATGCTTTCGAGTAATAGCAATTTAAATTGCTCTTGTCACCCCTGACCAGCAGATTGTATCCTTCTCTCTACGTGTATCTCCTCCCCACTTTCCTAAAGCTGTTTGTATGTATTATGAAATGTCTATGTATTATCTGATTGTTATATTCACTGTATGTTTTCTGATTGGTCAAATAAATAATAATAAATAATAATAATTATCGTCTTTTTACTTTTATTTTTCAAGATTTTTCCAAGGTAAATAGCTTCAAAGTGAAAGAAAGACCGGCAGAATCGGAATATTTCTAGTCTAAAATTGAAGCCACGTGTGAGTTTGATCGGGGAGAGAATCCAGGAAATTGCTATCACCACATTACCAGTATTTACTCAAGATCATTTCTAAAACTTTTCAAGATCGCTTAATGCTCCAAGAATGTCCCCGATATTCCTTTGTTGCTGTCCGTTGGTTGTATATGCATACATGTGCCTCCAGAGGCGTATGCAGTTCAATATGTGGTGCAGGTATACGCCCCGCCCAGTTCGAATTAAACCCTGAATAAAAATCTATCAAACTTAAAGTTGATTTACGGCAAGCGGGACTGCGTATATCGACCGCCCCCTCCCAAAATATAGAGAGAATTTTGCCCTGTTGTTTATAAATACTATTCGCTCATGAATTCGTGACTACTAATATTAGGGTAGATTATCAGATGCATAAATCAGGCGATACACCTAATCTTCTTTCAAACACAGAACTATAGATATTCCAAAGTTAAAAGCGCACTTTTGGATGTTGTTAGATGATATGCCAGAAGCTCAAGCATGCTTCGTTGAAACGAGGGTGACGAAATTAAAGCTAAACTTGCCAATAACTAAATACTTGTAATATTTCACAATTTGTCGACATAGTTACGAAAACATAGGATGTTTTAACTGCCTTCCGACGAATGTTAAAGGAGTGTCACCCCTCTCCTCTACACCCTAACACCAACCCTCCCTGAAATACCACTGTGAGCGCAAAGCGGAAACGTTTAGGAAAGGATCGAAACAGGGATCATCATTTTCTCTACAGCCGACGAGTGATGGGATAATACATTTTCCGGCGTTGCTATGGATACAGCGTCCTTGACTACAAACGAATCCACATGGCATATGTAAGATTCTTTTTCAGTTTGATTTTCATTTTGTAAAGTGAATGTGTAATGCATCTTGCTCAGTTATAGTATGCAGCCACTTTGTATTGCATGATTTTTAACCATACTAGTCAGACAGTTGCAGCTGTCTATTTTCAAATTCTGCTGTAGAAACAAGGACATGACGAATTATACAGTGCGTCCCACAAAAAACGAAACCGACAATTCTCGATGTTTTATCATAACTTAATCACAATCATAATTAATAAATGACACATATTTGGAAATCTTAGATCCTCCTCTTTCATTTGATGCAACTCATATGATTCATATCTCAGGCATGAGTGATAAACAGCAATTTGAAGAGAGGAAACCAAAAAGTCATTGCGTGAGATATGAATCATATGAGTTGCATCAAATGAAAGAGGAGGATCTAAGATTTCCAAATATGTGTCATGTATTAATTATAATTGTGATTAAGTTATGATAAAACATCGATAGTTCTCGATTTCGTTTTTTCTGGGACGCACTGTATACTAGTAAACACTTAACGATAATCCTATTGCTTGGCACTGTTATCTTAAAATATTACTGATGTAACTTCTTCAATTTCACTCCTTTCCTTTCCTTTTCATCTTTATACAGCATCTGATTCCATCAAATTGCGTTCCGATTTCTCCTTGATCATACTGATACACGTTATGTAAAACACCGTCACTAAAAAAGGTAGTTCTCTCGCAAATTGAGGAGATGAATCAAGAAGAGGGAGAAAGGGTATACTTTCATTTGTCTATAATTATAACATTAACAACCAAAATGAATGTTTACATCTAAAAGTATTCAACAGTTTTCATTAAAATTTAATTTTACTGTATACCATTTAATATGTCGTTTGTATATTCTGCTGATTTCTCACCTAGGAAAAAGAGTCCATCCATAAATAAATAAATCTGAAAATAAATAAGATAGAATAAAAATAAAGACTTACCTTGTTGGCTGGTGGAGTCCTCTGGGTTACCACTCGTTATATCAAGGCCAGTGATAGGGATTGATGGGAAGTTATTGATGAGAGGAACGTTGTTGGTCTGCAGGAGGAAGTTCGGGTTGATCGCCCGGTGAAGACCATTTGATTCCGGGTCAGGTTCTAAGATCTCTTGGGTTTGCGTTGTTCCATCTAAGCAGGAAAGAGATGAAATTGTATTACTACGATTTATTAACAGATCGTAAGGCAATGGACGTCTTTATTCAACATTTCGTTATTTCCTTTTAATTATCCGACTACTGTCTGTAATGACACATTTCTGAAATTCGGCACATAAATAATTTATTACATATCGATAAAAATATTGTTTCAATAACTTTTCGCCGAAAAAATTGAAACTCTATTATTTCTTTGACAAAGAGTTAAAATAAAATATCAACAACGAATTTCAAATACGGATATTGGCTTTTGTGAACATGATGGTGATGACAATATTGATGTTAATGATGATGATTGATTGAGTGATGGTGGTTGTGGTAATGGTGGTGGTAGATAAAAGAGATGATGATGGGGATGGCATGGTGATAATGGTGGTGTGGTGGTGGTGGTGTGGTGGTGATGGGGATGATGATGATGATGATGATGATGATGGGGATGATGATGATGATGATGATGATGGTGGTGATGATGATGATGATGATGGGGATGATGATGAGGGTGCATGGTGATGATGGTGATGGTGAAGGTTGTGTTGCTGCTGCTAACAATATGGTTATGCTGATGGGATGATGATGATGATGATGATGGCAATGGCAATAATGGTAGTGGTGGCGGAGGTGATAAGTGGTGACAGTGCATGGTGGAGGTGGTTGGGTGATGGTGTTGTCGGTGTTCGTGGTAACTGATGACGGTGGTAATGGCGTAGTGATTGCTATAGGTTATTGTGATGATAATGAGGAGATAATAATTATTTTTTTATGTAAAATAACAATTTCAGGTCTTCAGTCTTTATTTTCTCATAATAATGAGGAGATATGATAATAGTTGTATGTATCTCTATCTACCTTCATATACACATACTGGGCAACACGAATCAGGAAAGATAAGCTGCTCAAGCTCTGGGCACGATAGCGGTAGACACGTCTTCAATGCACAGTAAATTCTCCCAAGCTGAAAATGAGAATGAATTAAAACTATTCGATTAATCATGCAACACGTAAGATTACATATTCTTAGCATATAATGTTCATACTTTGTGAATGTTGTTTAAGTTGTGACATTGCAACAATTTCGAGTGTCATACCTATGATATAAACCGTCGAGCATAGAGTGCATCAGCAAAAAGGTCTGTTCATAAGCAAATCATGATTTTCACGCGAATATATCTGAACATTAATTACTTGGAAGGAAATTGCAGAAAAGTTAGTAGGAATAGAGCTTATTACAAGAAAATAAAATCATCAACCTTTCATTTACCCGTATCACATTTCCACCCACCCCATCTTGGCGACGCCCCTGTCTGGCCTAACCATTTTAGTAAATGAGTTGTACAGCACTCCCTCCTGCGAAAAATTGCTCTGCATAAACTTCTACACTAACTGAATTCTTAACTTTAACCCCGGACTCAACACTATATCTAATCCAACTCTAAACCTAAAATAACCTAAAACCCAGTTGCAAACCTAACCCTAACCCTATACATTTAAAATTTCAAAGCCTAAAGCAATTGCTTTATGATAATGTCGTACTAATTACTTATACTTTTGAAAGCGTTTTTACTGATTATAAATTGTAAATTGTAAAAGGCGTTGAAAGGGCCTACGGTCTTGAAATGCGCTATAAAAGAAAATCATTATTATTTTTTTCATTTTTATTATTATTATCATTTTTATTGTTATTTTCATTATGATTATTATTATCATTGTTATTATCAGTGACAAAGGTTAACGTACCGTGCATCCACACTGCGCACATTGGTCCTCCCTCCTCGACGTGAAGATATCATCCACGCTAAACAGATCTCCATGATGAAGAGCTTTACCCTTGTACTCGCACCCAGGGTAACTTGGTTCCTCCACCACAGGGGCGACGAGGGGTGCCTCTGTAACCATATCACCATCTATAAGGAGGGATGGGAAGGAGGGGAGGAAGGGAGGAGGGGTGGAGTGGACATAAATGTAAACATTTTAGTCCAATTCATTTATTTCTTTGAAATTCCTTTATATTCATCGTTTAAACTCATCCAGCATAAACTGGTTCATGTCACGTTACTAATAGTGGTTCCTAGGTAAACATGTATTCTCTGTGAGGTGGGGACGGTGAACAAATTTTAAGTGGAGATAGAAAATACAGCTTCATCATTCTATGTTACGGATTTATTCAAAATTCCACTGGTTATCTTTTTTGTATCAATCCTCCCATTGATTATGTCTGAGCAGTACACCTGTTCTAACACCATCAACCCGAAAGATTCACCTGTGAAACCCCATGAGATAGTTTTGGATTGGTTTCGGCTGACAAAGAAGGGTATATATGAAATTGCCTTTAGCGATGCCATTTTGTTTGCGATCGTGCAACGTTGGATTTACATTTTATTTATGTATTCATTAGATTTGATCATCAATAGTGATCTGTCAGTTTATGACAGGTTCATTAACCCATCAGAATTCTACATCAAGTGTGTTTCCAAGTAACTCGGTCTTGAGCCATCCGTTTCAACATTTCATATCCTGTTGCTCCACAATCTGCGATTGAATTATCTAGAAAGCCTTAGATTTGATATAAATGATAAAAAGATCGTATAATAACCAATAAGCACATTACCTGGACACACTAAACAGCATTGCCCCGGTATCCTCCTGGGCGAGGAGCAGGTGGGTCTGGGGCACTCCTCCCGTGTGCAGGTAACATGATCATCCTCGATACACGTGCATGTTGTACAAGGATCGAGACCAGTCGGTACCAGATAGGGGTGCCATGATTCACCCAATCTGTAGGTACGGCCTCCGAATGGACAAATACCTGCCAAGAAAATGAAATCATTTAGTTATACATTTCTCTATATTTATTTATTCTCTTATCTGTATTTTTGTTTAATTACGAAGGTACAGGTTGTATAGCGAACTTGATCCGTTGGTTGTAGTATCTCTTTGGTATGAGGTACGTGTGTCATGGCTCACACAGTCTGTAGGTACGACCTCCGAATTGACAAATACCTGTTACATTTGTCTACTAAGTTGGTTAAAAAGTAAAGTTAGTTAGGTAAGTAGATATCTACTGTATATAAAATTATTATAAAATCATGTAAATTTCGCGTTATTTATTGTTTATGAAAGCATGAAAGATGAAGAAAATAAGTGATGCTTCTTGTCATAGACCTTTTTATTATCTATTTGATTCAGTGGTACTGATTACAGCACATTTTTTCACAAACTGCGTTCATTTTAGTATTTGATAAATACGAAAATACTTTTTCTTCAGAGGAAAATTTTTTTTATCGGTCTCTTAGTTTCATCGGATTATTTTTGTGAATAATTCTACAGATATCGAACCCCAGTTTTAGCTTATTTTTGTTTAAATATTAGCCAACTGAACTTTTATCCTTTGATCATTAACAATGAGGGTCGTTGTCCATCTGTGTAATGTAGAAAAGTACAAAGCAAATATTAAGGACAATACGATGGTATTCCGTAGAACAGACATTTCATTACAGTTAGATTTAAACAGCGTTTTTCTTCAATCATCATTTATTGAGGAGCGAAATGTTGGTATGTGAAAGCCAAAATGCAAACATCTTAATACCCCTAGCTGAGCGAACTCTTGTTTCCACCAAGTATCTTTCTTTTGAGTGCATGGCGTCTCCCTAACCCATCGCGTCGCTCCCTGACACTTCACCATCCACTTCTGGGCACCAAACGACACAGCCAACACCCCGGGATACCTCGTTGTCTAGCTCCCTTACAACCCCTTCCCACTAAAATGGCGAAGACCACCCTGAGAAAACTGCCAGTCAAGATTCTTTCTCCCTCTCTTTCATTGTTCGGGGATGCTAAGTCCCATGATGATGATCCATGCCTTCTTTTGATTGTAAGTATAGTCGAATAATCGCCCCACTTGTTGGGGATGACAAGAAATGGCGACTCCTTTCTCCCCGTCAAGAATTAGCGCCATTGTCGCAATTGTGCTCCGCGGCGTCTTAAACAACAGACGACACGCCACTTACCAACAGAAAGTGTTGGCGCGCTTTTGTTAAGCGCCATGTTGTGTACACTGACTTTCTGGTGAATGGCATGTTTGTAACTGATGCTTTCCATTGACCGAGGAGTGTAAATCGCTCTTGTGATTGCATACACAGATTTAACTCGAGTGTTTAACGAGATAATGAGGCACCAAAATCTCTATTTTTCTCGGACAAAGCGGGACAACACTTGCCGAAAGGCTCGGCACGTCGTAGAGGCGAGACTGAAGAGAGGCGCTACAAATGATCTCTCTTTTCTTCAATGATTGACGACGTCTCCCATTCTTCAATAAAAGTCGCGTCCGTCTCTCTCTCTCTCTCTCTCTCTCTCTCTCTGTTTCTCCCTCCCTCCCTCACTTTCTATCTCTCTTTCTCATTCTAATTTATCATCATGTCGTGTGTCTATAGTTGTTTGACACCACTCAGACAGATGAAAGGCTGACGAACATCGTCTCGATGGCAAGACCCCAAGCCAAGGAGAGCCAGACCAGTCCTATCACCCTTTAAAGTGTCAAAACAACTTCGGTCGCGATGGAGATTGGTGGCCGTTTTGGGCTCCACCGAGTACGGGAATGCCCCGTTTAAACAGATATTTTGAGTGTCAAAATATGATATATGGTTTGGGGCGACAAGCGTGTAGACGGACGCGCGTGGTAGCAGATGCAGCAATGCCGATAATGGATTGGAAATAGTTTGGGCTCGAGGAAATTGATGGTCCTACTGAGAGATGTGTCTCTTTATAGACTAATAGAGCTAAAATACGATAAAGATTCCTGTTTTTTGGGAGCCAGAAAAGGGTGAAGGAATGTCGAAAGAAATATAGTGATCCAAAATCGTCATGATAATATTTGGCGGGTTGGGTGGTAGTGAGAAAATCGTTAGTGTTTTGACTGGGAGAAAAGGTATAATTTTGATATGCATGGTTCACGGCATCCATTTTGTATAAAACTTTCACAATTATTCACACGATATGAGACGTGCCTTCTTTTTTTTCCACTTTTGATAAAACAAACCATTTACATGACCCCTCTTTCCACTTTAATAAATCAAAAGAATAACTTTGCTTTTCTTCTCTTTTGTCTTCCTTTGTTTCCATTTTGCTTTGTTTAGACCGTCCCAGTGTTATTTATTTCATGTAATTTGCCTTATAATTATGATAATGAAAAACAAGATCGAATTTATTTGGCTTTAATCTTTCCTTGAATCTGGTCTGAAGAACTTTCTTGGGCTTGAACCGGTTCGATGATTTTATTTGTTGTGCTTTTTTTTGCCTCGATCTTCACTCGATGTTTTGGCACTTAAAGGGCAATACAACACCTTTTTAAGGCCTAATCAGAATCATTATTGTTATTATTAGTATTATTACTATATGTAAATAAGTAGATTAATACATTAATAAATGCATTAATAAATGAATAAATGAATTATAAATAAATTAATATAAACATACATGGCTTATATAATCAGAATACTCCTCTGTATACATTTAACAATCGATATTTATGTCTCCAATCACTCCAATCACTAGTTCTTTTCGGGAAATTTCTAAAAACTTTTAAGCGACATGATTATGTCCATTAGTTTTTACTCTAAAAAATCATTTTATCATATTGATTGAATGTCTTCTTTTGAAGAAAAAAAAGTAGATACATAAACGACCTTAGAATTGAAAGGAAAGGAAGTAATAAAACTCATCAGCCTCGTCTTTCAATTGAAATGTCCATTTCTAAAACCACGAACCATACTCGAATACTCTTTCAGACCATGATTCTTGAACTGTAGACCTAAACAAAATCAATTGTAATTCTTAAATGTTTATCTTCGTTGTTAATTCCTTAGAAATCTCTAACTAGACTCCATTTAATATGAAACTATCAGGCCCATTTCATTCTAGATTACAATCAATTAAGATTCCTAAGCGTTTATCTTCTTTGTGATTTTCCAACGAAATTGCCCACTGGATACCACTAAACTGACAATCTCTGTCGATTAAATTGTATACCACCCAACCTCAAATTAAACGTCTCCTACTCCCCCTTATCTTATTGGAAACTGATATCTCTTTCATTTCAAGCCAAACAATACTCATAGAGGCGGGTGAATGCTCGCAGTGCACTATATTTGACAGAAGCATCGCATCAAATATCCCCCAAATCTCTTTGTAATTCGTAAATCCTTTAATCGCTTGTTTATACTTAAGTGATTTTTCCCGCATCTCGTTGAAAAGGTTTCCTAGTCGCGCGTAACCCTGAGGTTTAAACCAAGGAATGGCAGGTATTTGATCCTAAGACGACAATTCACTTTTTTTTCTTTTTCTTTTCTCTTCGATGTTTTAACGGTAAACAACGGGTATTCAACCATGTGGAATAGTGGCAAAACAAAACTGATGCGGAAAAAGTTGTGAAATAAGAAAAGTATGCATAAACAGAAGGAAATATTCTTAAATAGCTTCCTGGTGGAAAATATAAAAAGTTTTATGCAGATTACATTTATTTCTTGATATAAATGATGTGTTTCACCCTATCATGACGCATTCCATAATATGCAGTCAAACCGATCTGTTAAGGTGACTCAACGAAAACAGAAAGGTGACCTTTCTAGGAAGGTTTTACACACATATTTCTTCCTTGAGGGAACATTTTACACTTTTAATGACCGCTAGCTACAGGTGGCATTCAGGGCGAGACAGGTTTGGCTGTGCACGTTATATTTCATTTTGCTAGTGGTCATTAAATGGTAAAAGAAATCTAAGTGCATTTCATTTCCCATTAAACTTTAAGATTCTATAAGTCTGTTGTTTTAAAAACAAGAGATGCTTCGCAATTTATCCCATTTGTCACAAATTTTACAAACGCGCTTTGTCTGGTATTCGTCCAAATGAATCCCGCATTGTAAACGGCAAAATCGGTCATTAGGCATTCATTTTGGGAGCATATTTGTTATGCACAATCTTTACACAAAAAGTGAAATGAGGCAGTGAATCTCTTACTTCTATGTTCATATTTTCGGCGCCGTACAAACAGTAGAAAGTTGACTTTTTACCTCATGTCCTAGGTACACAAGTCGTAATGTTGGACCATCCTGCGTGTGTATTCTCCAACCAGCAGCGGAAACCAACCAACAAACGAATCAAATTTGTTTTGTCCCAAATACTTTTCTGGCGCCCCATCTCTCATCCTCGCAGCCATTGCGTTCCGCTTAACCGACCCCATTCTTTACCCTCTACACACATTTTTTATGGAGCCACCACTTGGGTACATCGTAATCGTGAATTAAGAGATTTTCAGCGAGAACTTTTGGGTGAAACTCCTTCCTTCCCCAAGCATGAAATAGCTCCTGCATCCCACCCCTCGATCTCTCCCTTCTTCATTTCTTTCACGACTCCCAAGGGGGCGGCGGGTATCCAATTGTCTTCAAGACTCATCGTTTTCGTTTCAAGCCATCCATTCTATATGGTATCCGTTTCATTTACCAACCAGTTTCTCTATACCACTCGGGACAGTTTAAGAACCAATTGCAGGGCTTTAAACCATGGATTTGTGGAATGATCAGTTGGTTAATTGATTCGAAAGAATAAACCAAGATAGAGACATATGGCGCCATGTATACAAATTGTAGGGGGGAAATAGAGGGGGGAAGCTGTAATCGTAGTAATTGGAGCCGGATTTCCAGTTTGGCTTTAATAGTTTTTTTTTTTTTATCAATGCTTGCATTCAGCAATGAAGACAAGTTAAGTGATATTTGAGGGATAGAAAAATATATATTGTGTAATCGAAAGTACAGATTTTTATTATGACCAAATTGTTACCTGGTAAAGAGGATTTTTCTCCATTAATAAGTTCAATATGTATGAAATTAAACTTATTGAAGTAAACCTAAGAAATTACGAAAAAGACATTCTTGCTCTTGAATCACTTAACTATTTTTTGCGCTTGAAACATTTTACTCACTTTATTAGAAGTTTATTAGTTTGAATTAGACCTGTGCAAAATGCAGTGAACTTCCCTTTTTTTAAGTAACTACTTTAAAAGAAAGGCCCATTATCATGTAATTCAAGAGTCCGAGTTCAAATGTTAAGGTCAATGGAAAATAAATTATACAAACGTGCTTCAATCTAATTCTTTTAATAGTTATTATCAAGTCTTGTTTAATCTGAACTTTTCTTTTAGGCTTGCAACACTTTTGAATTGACGAATTGCACGAATCTGATACGACAGGATTAGTGTTCCAGTGAGAATCAAACACTTGAACTTAATATGCAGCCAATTTTCTTCAATTATAATAACAAATCTGGATTTACTTAGCGCTTTACTAATAAGGAAAACCATCCCCAATTTTATTATAAGCGTCATTTCCCTCCCCTTTCCACTAAATAGATAAACATTGATAAAGAAAACATTGTCAATATGTAAAAGTATATCTACTATAATGAATACACAAAAGACATCACAAAGGGTATAACAAAAAAAAGTGAAATGGAATGCAAAAAAATACTAGTTGGAGTAATGATAATAGTAATTTGCAGAAAATAAGTGTTCTCTTACCTGTTTCTGTTGGCCCTGCTACGGATAAGGCGACAGTCGCTAAGATCCAGAAAACTCCGATATTCATGATCCGATCTGCCATTGTGACGAATACACGAAGTCTGCAAAAATCAGATATTTACCAGAGCAAGTTAAAGACTAAATGCCACGATATCAAGTTGTCAATGTTGCTTTCAGACTAAACGCATCAAAACTCAAAATAGATTTAAGTCTCAACAGAGCACACTCTTTTCCCAAGTCGCTTTTTGAAAGCAGGATGCTAAGTGAGAGAGCGTCTCTCTAATTCTTGCTTAATGTCCAACGCTCGATTCTTCCACGGCGAAAAATCGAACGAAATGCGAGATGGTTATCAAAATGTTTAATGAGACGGTCGAGAGAGAGTTATCAGAAAATATTTAATTCTCCAAACTGTAATTGAAACTTGACACAAGTATTGTCATTTCTCAAAGTTGTGGAGCGTTTCCATTCAGATAGATTTGTCAATGCTCTCACACGCGATTCTTCAAAAACTACTCCGACTTGCTTGCCCGATCAACTCAGATTAGCCTTGTGATGATGGAAAATGCATACGAAAGAGAGCAAGCGAGAGAAAGACAGAGAGAGAGAGAGAACTTTTGTTATCTTGCAGACGATATATCGCCTGATCAATGGGAGAGGGAATGAGTGGCTGTAGAAGGGCGCCTACATTTTGATGCCGGGTAAAGTTGACGCTCGTCAGTAAATATAAAGTAAACAAATTTTGATATGAGGGAAGAGAAAGAAAGAGAGAGAGAGAGAGAGAGAGAGAGAGAGAGAGAGACTAACTGACAGAAGTGGAAGACACAGCGCACACGCACAGCGCACACACTCGTTCATTCCTCTAGTGAATTTGTCTTTCGTTCATTATTCAATTCACGAGATGCAATTTTACTTTGAAAACTTCCCCAAAATTAGAAAGGGAATAGCGCATTGAGAGAAGCAACGCGTGCTCAATAACCGTTAATAAAAACGTGAAAGTGACGATACGATATAAAATTTTGAATGTTGAGTATATGTCATTCTTATAATTGATTTCCACTAAAACACATCGCAAAGATTATTTATAGAAATCAACGTAGGGAAATATCAATGAGCCTTGTTCATTCTCTTTTGAAATGTGGTAACATAATGACGTATTACGTAATTCAAACAAGATTTCAGTCTATGGAATGCCCAATAGGCAGGCCTATTAAAATTGCACATGAGTGGTTTCTCGAAAGTTTTTGCGAGCGAGTTTAAATTAAAACAACTCACATTTTATTCTCATTTCGATGGCGTTATTTAAAATCTTACCGCTACTACCAAAATAGGGTGGTTAATTGCTCAGACGATTTTCTAGGATTCTCTAGACACGTGACAACAACATAAGTAAAGAAGACACTTATGACACTATTTTTGTAATACTCAAATTCATTGGGTGGTAGGGGGATATTAGGTTTCGGGTTATCATACAAATTTACTTTTGTTGGAGATACATATCAGTCGGTGTCAGTATTCTTCATATCTGGCCATATTGCCCGACATATCGCCTTTTTGTGTTTCTATCAAGTTGATTCCAAGTGTAAATGGTGCCTTTAATGTGTTCGTTTCATCGCTGTGATAAAGTTTACAGTTGACTTTTCTTGAGTGAGTGTCTGTTGCTTGGTATTTGAAACTCGACCACGGACGCCCCGAAGCCGTGGTTTTACGGTATTAGTTCGACTTCCTTTCAGTGGTTGGTCGTTGGCAAACGAAACAAGCATGTATGCCTATAGACTCCGTTCAAATGTGAAAACTAAACCCATGACATCAAGACGTCCATACTAATCGTTATTTCTGATGCTTTTTTTAATATAATTTACTTTCATTAATAAAGATCCTTTGATTACTCTTTATAGTCATTATCATCTCATTACAATGGAACATTCAGCACATAAAACAATTTTGAAATACACTAATTTTAAGGTATTTTTCTTGAAGATAATACTGTACATTTGAAGATTGAAGGGCGGTATGAAGCTCAACAAACTTAGAAACACCTTTGTGATTCGAACACGTCCTCTCCTAAATCTGTATTACCAGCGCCCCTGATCACGAGCGAATTTAAGGGGGCACAACCGGCCCGTGCTTCCTTTTGGCCCACTTTTTCACTCGTAGATTACACAAAATGACCAAATGAAAATATATATCTATGTATTCATTAATTTATATATTTTCATTTGTTTTTTATTTTATTTCCATCATTTTGTTGTGTGTGCCCCACCTTTTTGAAATATTTTGTTTTAAACAATACTGAACCCGCCCCTACCCTGATCATCGATCACTGGTATGGCAATGAACGATGAGGGTAACGTAAAGCGGTCACACCCCCCGCGGACAACCACTGTGTTAATTGAGTGTTACCTATACCATGGTGCCTGCATCAATTGACACGTTATACTGAACCCCCTCTGAGGACCATTCCCAGCCGTCTGTACCCCCAAGGGGAGCAGGGGAGGGGCAGAGGGGTGCGGGGTAGAATGGGGAGGGTTCTACGACTCGAAGATCCGATGACAATTGCTATTTTCTATTGTGGGCGTTTAGAAATGTAACGGCATTGAAGACTGCCATTAATTGTACTCAGTAACTCTTTGGTTTAGACGCACATGTATCACTGATGATTATTAATGCAAAGCAGCTTCGTTAACTGACATCAATTTTAATCGAAGCAATATAAACATTGAGATCACGGATAACTTGTATTTTTGTAAAAGATGTCAAAGCTATTTTAGGGTTATAATCGTGTTTAGATTAGGACTTATGCTTCTTTATAGTGTTTGGATTGGGGTTGAAAGTTACAAACTCGGGAGCTTGTGTCGTAGAATTAAAAGTGGAATTTTTAACAGAATTTTACTTGAAATGCATATCCCGAAGTCTAGATACCGAGACGGGTTCGGCACGAGACCTGGAGCGCAGATCATGTTCCATTTTACCGCGCAACTCCGGCGTCGATGATAGGGCCAGGGAAGTGGTTACAACGCAGTACTTAAAGGTAACATGCGATATATCTAATACTTCTATGTGGCGGCATAAACAAACATTTTTAAAGACTTTATCTATTTACATTTTTAGCTTATTTGAATAAGTTGACACTTAATAAACAATGATAAATGTGATAACTTTGTTTGGGTTTTTCAGAAATTTTTAGGAATCCCCCATTAAAAAAAAAAAAAAAAAATTCGCCCCAGGGGCGTTTGTAGGTTATTCTAGATCATTAATACAAGTAAAACAGCTGTAGTCCACCTCTTATAATCAAAGAGTCTACATTAGCTTATCGAGCGTTCAATCAAAAGTAAGCGAAACTCAAATCTTTCCTAGACTTTATTTGAGAAGGAAATTAATTTGCTTAAGAAAATGTCTTATTTTAAACGAAAGATCTGTCTTTTTGATTGATTGTACGCCTTATTCATGTTAATGTAATTCAAACATACTAGCATGACTAGTAAGCAAATGAGAGAATGAGCTTTGCATTCTTGCGGTGATGTTGGGTCAAGAGTACTCATTTGTATGGCATCTCACCATTTAATTCATTTGATCAGAGTATTCATTGATAATAACATAAAATAACATTTTGCTGTTAAGATTGAGAACTCCCATGCCATGCTGCTCAAGAAGGGGTTTTAATCCAGTATCTGTCAATCAAAATGAAATAGCCACCGAACAAGACATTTGTATGGCTGCCCGCAAGTCCACCTACTTTTTATTATCATTATAGCAGCTCAGAAATAGAGTTATTGTCAATGTTAACAAATTATCGTTGCTATTAAGGACAAGCTCGGTAACTAAGAAACCCCAAATCAATCATCCCATTTGACGGAGGAGCAATTGGGAGCATTAGGGAGTGGTAGACTCCTGCAACCCCCTTGAAACACCATGGAAACCCCCTGGCAGCGCAGACAAGAATCCCAAGATGACTGATCATGCTGATAATTATTTTTCTTAGAGCGAAATACATGTTTGGATTTCAAGAGTTCGGATGTTATCTCGAAAACCCATGCATAGGTCGTTGGCTTGCCGCTCGTTTTTTGGATAGGTTGCCAACAAAAAAATTCCCGTGCACTTTCTTAAAAAATGAAAATATGGTTTTGCCCGCTGGGAAAACGAGAGCCAATCGAAAATACGTGAAATCAGAGAAAACAGAGGAAAGGGAGAGGGAGATAGAGAGAGAAGGAGAGAGAGAGAGAGAGAGAGAGAGAGAGAGAGAGAGAGGGGGTAACATGAAGATGGAGAGACAGAGATAGATGGAAAATAAATGAAATTGGGAGGTGGAGATATTTATAATTAGAGAGAGAGAGAGAGAAAGAGAGAAAGAGACAGAGAGACAGAGAGAAGGGGAGGGGAGAGGGACGATCATGATAATTGAAGAACGATTTATTGAAAACCTGTGTTCAACGAATTGAAAGAATATTCTTTATAACTTAAGTTCATTAATATCTCGTTCAGTGTTTTCTTTCACAGTCTCCCCTTTAATGTTATATCCAGAAAATAAAATAAAAAGGAGCACTCATCTCTATACAAATATATATTCTTTTAAACTAACCAAGGAGAACATAATTTTATTCATTAGTAGAAATCTTTAAAAACTGATTCTTTTATAGTTTTCTAAAACTGTACCCGGACTTTAAGGGGCAATACAAATGCCAAAGTTTACCCAATCCACCTGTTTTTTTGTTATTGTACTAATATTTCTATTTAACCAATAAATTCTATTTTTCAAAGGGGCAGACTTACTATGTCGCCTGTCTGTATCTGAGCATCTGGTAAAGGAGTATTTTGTTAATCATGCAAAGGAATAAAGAGCGTCAATTGTTCCATATTAACAATATCTATTCATATTTTTTGTTTGTATGTCTGTAACTGTATTGATGCTGCATCAATGGGACGATCGATGTAGCGCATCCACAAAAGTCAGAGTTTGAATGCTCGTTTAGGAAATGGGTTTCTTTCAGTGGCTTTTTGACAGCAGAATGCGGCTTTGTAAACCGCGTCAATCTGTCTCTTCCGATCATCTCTTCGTAGAGAAGATATTTTGCGAGTATATTCCAATACGTTTAAATCAATCAGGGGCGTATCCGGCAAATGGTGGAGCCTTCATATGCCCCTCCCTTGCGTAGAGCCCCTACCCCCAAAATAGAATCAGTGTAAGCTTTTGAAAAAAATTAAAATAGCAATGGGTGGGTCATATTTGCGGAACTTTACTTGTTAAAACAAAAGTGAATTAGAAAAATTCAGACTTTATCTCAGAAGCCCCCATTTGAGGAGCTATATCCAGATAATTTTCTCACACCTCTCTATTACTTGTATGCAACACTGTTAAGCCAAATAAACTTCAGTATCATTTCGCCTTTGTAAAATAGATTATATATGAACCTGTTGGAACCATCTGGAAGATGAAAAGTGGTCCCTAGCGAAAGCTCATGAACATTTAAAAATGAAAACAGTCTCAAAATGAGAAATGAAAAAAAAATGAAGAAAAAAAAACAATGAGCTGAGAGAGCTGATCTAAGGACGTCTTGTCCTAACGCAGTATAACTTTCTGTTCTGGTATACTCACGTTCTAGTTGTAATTGATGCTAGTCAGTCTCTTGAGAAATAAGAATGATTCTGTTTGCTTGAAATTCATAAATAAAAGCATATGTTATAATTTCATGAAGTTTCCTTAAAATCGCGATCAACATTATTTATGGTTTTTGATTTTCGATGAGACATGAAACATTTTGGCCATCTTTAGAATGTTTTTGTTTCTTCTTCCGAGCATGTAGTAATATCTTGATCATGTAGAATGTAGATCGTGATTATAGTGGTCGTTGTCATTAAAATAGCTCAATAGTGATAGAAGCACAGGATTATGATTAAGAAGAATGAACACAAGGAGAAGAAGAAAAAGAAGAGTGGGAAGAACAAAAGCAGAACAAGAATTAGAAGGATGGAGATGAGGAGGAGGAGGACAAGTATTTGTAGTAGTAGCAGTAGTTCCAGTAGTAGCAGCAGCAGCAGTAGTAGTATAGTAGTAGCAGTGGTAGCAGTAGTAGTAGTAGTAGTAGTAGTAGAAGTAGTAGTAGTAGTAGTAGTAGTAGTAGTAGTAGTAGAAGTAGTAGTAGTAGTAGTAGTAGTAGTAGTAGTAGTAGTAGTAGTAGTAGAAGTAGTATATTAGAATAAATGAGAAAAAGAAGAAGAAGAAGGAAAAGAAGAAAAAGATAGGACTGATCGAGGAGGAGGAGGAGGAGGAGAAGAAGAATAAACTCTATACTACCTCGAATTCGATTAGTATCATAAACACCGCTAGAAATATTGAATTCTCTTTATTTTCTATAAAGGTACACATTATTTTGTTACACATTCCTAACGAGACAACTTCAGATAACTTGAATTATCTACATAAACGACGACTTCAACTATCATTCTTAAAAATGAAAAACGTTTAGATCGAAGAATAATGTCGACCACTTTGTGCTGATGGATGTTTATATTTACACTGCACAACTTGATTAATTGTTTTCCCGCAATCAATCATTTTTCATATTGACAAAACAGGTCAATACTACCGTATAGGAGGATTCCTACAGAGATAGAGTTGCATAAGTTGACAGCTGAAAAGCAGAAGGTTACTTAGGATTAATGTCCAAGGTTCTGTCACTCAAAGCGAGATCGAACGAATCAACCATGTCATTTCATTTTATTGTCCTGTCCTACAATAATTCTTGAAAGAATACGCCTGATGTTCCGTCTAAAGTACTATGTTCCCTGTTTTATACACGTACCTGTAGCTCTATTTGCGCATTTAAATAACTTCCTTGTTTCCCTATCCCCCGTTTAATAGCACTGCTATAAAATTAGTTTTTTATTTGTTACAACAAAGTGTTAAAAACAACTTAATTTATGCTTATCAGAACTGAGCAAGAAAAACGTTCATCGCATCATTTTTTGTGCCTTTGTGCTCCTTCAGCGTTTGCAGCGAGAAAGAGAGAAAAGACATAAATTTATATATTTCATAAACAAAACTGAAATGTCAACAGTCATGGCAGTATAGTTTATAGTGCTGAATGTTTCAGCTGCGCCTGAATCATTTTAAATTACATAACATATATAACGAAAGGAGACAGTCCTCTAGTGTTACAAGTTTTTCTACATCATGAAGTCGTTGATATAACAGTATTCCATTACCCCAATCAACAACGATTTTAGATGCAATATTATTTATATGTTTTTATAAAGTTGAGAGTTCATTTTCATGAAATAAAAAAAGTCCACCGATTGATACTACTGTTAAAATTCCACTTTAGATTTCAATAAAGAAAGGTATCCTTGTGATAAACATAAGCATAAGATGAATGATAAACAATTAGGTAATAACTTATTCGATGTTTTTCAAGGTATATGTGCTTTAATCACCCCTTATACGTAAAACGCATCTCTTCATAATGTTATATGTTCATAAGTTTAATCCACCCTTTACCAGATATTCTTTACATTAAACATGCGGCGATTTGTAAATCTATCGACAGGAAATAAACTGATAAAGATCATGAGCTTCAATCAAGACTTCAAATACTATTAAAATCAATACGAAAGTGTACACAAATCGTTGACAATATCATTACGACTCGTATATTCTTCTCATTATGCTTGTGAGTTTTAACATGAAATGATATAACACATTATGATCATTGCAATTCGTCGGCATAAACTGATTATGAATATCATATTATATATATATATACGACTACACCCCTTCCTCTTCTACTTTAACGACTGTGTGGTAATTGAGAGCTATAACGGCGTTATCCCTAATGATAGATGTGTTAACGTCGTTTTGGCTCTGAGGAGAATCCGCTGCTGTCATAAAAATTATAAGTCATAATAAAGTCATGAAATAACAATTGTACAAGAACTGATCAATATCATTCTATGTGGCTCTTCTTTCCTATCTACTGAGTGTCAAAATGTAATATGCGTTAACTCTGTGTGAAATGATGGGGTTAACGCCCTTTCCGGCTCCCAGCAGAATCGGCTACCGTAAGAAGAGGGTTATAAAATGATATAATAATGGCTTTTAAAGACTTACCCTTTTGTGAAAATTCCAAAGTATCCGTTTATATTAGCATCCACGACTTAAAACTAGGCGAGTACTGACTTAGCGAGTTTGAAGACAGAATTCAGATGAAAGAAATATACAATTTGGAAAATTACTGATGTTTGACTTTCAATCGCCGTGACTCGATCACGTAACTTTGGTTTATTATAACAAATTCAAACTCCTTTACAAGCTGAGTTTACTTTGAGCAAATAAACTACAAAAGAATCCAGCACAGACGATTCAGATTTAACGACATATCACTGAAAAGCACGAGTTAACAAAATCCATCACAAAAAGGACCGCTGGCTTCTATTTTTATTTGTTCCTTTTCTCCGACTGTATCAGTTGCTCGTCTGTTCTCTATCTCCTAAAGTTTGCACGAATCACGAAGCGATCCACCCTCCCTCTATCTCTATTTTGCCTCTCTTGATCACTCTATCTCTTTCTCGTGCAAGCCTCTTGTTTTGGGTATTATTGGCGCTTCTATAACGAAAACATACCATTGTAGGAATGCTGTGGGACCGAAGACACCTATTTAGGATGTCTTTTGTTTTGTCGTTCTAAGAAGATCCTTTGAATCTGTCGTACGGATGAGGAGGATTTGAGGGGATTTGAGTCGCTTTGTTTAACAACTGCGTGGTTTGGAAGAGTTTTCAAAAGCACGAGCTCGTAGCGCGGCGCAGCGACGCCAGGACGGGAGCACCAGACCGACACTGGTCTCCAGAATACTGGCTCTTCACGGCCCTTTTCCGCTCCCCTTTTTTCACCCTCTCTCTCCTTCTCTCTCTCTCTCTCTCTCTCTCTCTCTCTCTCTCTCTCTCTCTGTCTCTTTCTCTCTCTCTCTCTCCTTATTATCATTTCCTCTGTACCTTTCTTTCTATATAGTTCAATTGGATTTGTTTTGATTCAGTCATCATCGTAAAACATGTCATAATATCCATAGACTCACAGGATATACGCACAAAGGCAGGCAGACGATATGGGAAGGTCGCATTAAAAAAAAACAAGGCTCGCGAATATTATCTCTTGAAAAGAGAAAATATAACTGTACAAATTATGATTGAATAGGACATTGTACATCTGGAATAAGTCAATCATTACGCTGGAGCCAATTCCTATGTATTCATTTTTTGTGTAATTACAGTAATTCTCCTCAATTTGTAAGTGCTTTTATAGCCTGTGCGTGTCTCCCCCAAAAGCACTTGTTTTTTTCATTGTCGGAATATATTTATGATAAAGTTCAGCTTACCTTCATATCACTCGATTCCGTGACATTGAAGGAAATGATTACTTGAAATTTGTTTATGTAGATTGTTGTTTTGCTTTTCTCATTTACTAATGTCAATAATTTGATTTTTCAAAAATGTGAGATTCAGTTCAGTTATCAAAAAAGTTTGCTATCAAACGGTTCATGACCATATTCGAAATGCAAAAAATCTTGCTTTATTTTCTTTCTTTAGGCCTCATGTTGTTTGACTTACTTCTTTTTTCTTTTTTTTTTAATGATTCACGGACTTTTTGTTTTAATATGATATAATGAAGAATGATTTTGGTATAATTATGTAAAGGAATGAACGATAATTTTATAACTTTCATACCCATGATGAAAAAGAAAAGAAGGATGGTGAAGAATACCGAAGACATGTGGCAATTCTTGTTTTCAATTAAGAGGTTGAAGGTTCGAATCTCTGTTCGATCCGTATGTTCTATAAATGATCTTATAGGATATGCACAATTATTTTGTTTTCTCTCTCTCTCTCTTTCAGTCTCTCTCTCTTCCATCAGTAATATTCTAACGAATAATGCAAATAAGATATTAATCTCCATCCCGTCTTTCTTCTTCTCCTTCTCCTCTGTCACCTTATTTCTTTTCTTATTATTTTTCTCCTCTCATTCGTCTATTTTTTCTTTTTCCTTTTCTTTTTCTTTTTCTATTTCTCCTTCCTCCTCCTCTTCTTCTTCTCCTTCTTCTTCTCCTTCTCTTCCTCCTCTTCTTTCCACTTTTCTTCTTCTTCTTCTTCTTCTTCTTCTTCTCCTTCTTCTTCTTCTTCTTCTTCTTCTTCTTCTTCTTCTTCTTCTTCTTCTTCTTCTTCTTCTTCTTCTCTCCTCCTACTTTTCTTCTTTTGACCCCTAGTCTACCCCTTTCCGGCTGTCTTCTCCGCCTCTCTTATTACCAACTCATTATAGTCTCTTCGTATTTATTCACGTATCCCAATTATCACGTCATATCGACACTACCTGTCACCTACCGACCTAAACAGTCTTTATCTATCCTCAAATCCGTAACATTTCTTCCATTTATTTCACGGATCAAGGAAGGATCATTACAAACTGAATCATTAGACAGTGTTAGAAATCGTAGAATGATTGTTCGTTTCACAGCACGAGACGCTCAAATCTCCAATGGGCTGGAGCTCCGTGGCACCAGTCCTGTCATTCTCATGTCTAATCATAGACAACCACGGGCCTTGATTTTTAGCTTTTGAATTACCATCGCTATAAAACGTCGGTCACACTGCCAAACCCACTAGTGTAATGGAAGGAGAGGTGGGGGGGGGGGGGGGGGGTCAATTGCCCCCTGACTAACTTCCATTTAAAAAAGTTTTCCCAACTTTCGAAAAATCGACTTGAGGCAGTTCAATAACCCTGTCAATCACCTTTTGAAACGCGCGAGAACTACAGTGACGTATTACGAAATCGGAACGCGATTTCTACAGGAATTATTGAAATTGCTTTGACTCTTCGAAAGTAGTTGTGATCGTCATGACGATACACCCCCCCCCCCCCCACTCTCGGCCTTGCAAAGCCAGCGCCCTCGAGGAGTGGCTTTCTTAAACTACATTGTAAAATTGATTTTTGATTTTCTTTTCTTTTCTTCTGCATCCATGTAATATACAGTTTTTCGATAACAATAATAAAAGTACAATAAGTATTTTTCTGACAATGCATCATAAATAAGCAAAAACATATATATATATATATATAAATTGTTATTTTCAAAAACGAAATGATATGCTGTCATAAATACTAAATTTCCTCAAACATTATAAAACATTAGACAATTATTTGCGGAAGAAGGACTGTCATTGTAAGCAGATTGCTTTGGATCACGGTAAGATGGGATTTATGCCCCTTCTGAGGCCAAGGTCTGGATATGCCACTTTCCAAACCGACTCCACCACGACTCCTCCACGACTCCTCCACGACTCCACCCCGACTCCAGACCGACCGATTCTTCTTTATTCATAATAAAGTTCATTTTTATTCGGTCTGTTGTCGCCTTGTCGGTCCCACGGTTTCATGTCGAGTTTTTTCCGAAGGCTCATAATTCCAAAGGTCCACATTCCGAAGGTTCGTTTTTCCAACAGTAATGATCGTAACTCCGAAAATGAAAGAGAAATCTGACTGGTTTTTATGAATTACGAACCCTATAATTCAGTTTCGTAATTACGAATCTTCTATATAACGAACATTTGGAGTAATGGATCAAATGAGCTAAATTATGGACCCTATTTCATTGTCGGAATTATTAACTCCTATTATGGAAAATTTGTTTTTCAGAACTATGAACCTTCGGAAAAATGAACCTTTGGGAAAAACGACTAGCCCTCGGTGTGACTGAGGTCTGGCAGGCGGTAATAACGGGTAGTTAAGCCATGGCAAATGATATCTTCACTTCTAATTCCTAACTGTCACATTTAGATTTGTTTCTCGCTGTCTGTCAAAGATCAAGAGGACTAATGAACAGGGCTTGTTTAAAGATAAGATCTGGTTTTCTATGAGTATAGTAATGTCAAAAAGAGAACTTATACTCTAATAGGTCAAGATAACTATTTTGCATAACATGTGATTATCATTGTTCACTTATCTCATAAACAATGCGTTCCTTCACCCATCTGTCTCTGCCTCTGCCCCCAGCCACCTCCAAATGTCCCCCCCCCCTCCAATCTTCCCCTCCCTCCCTCTCTCTCTCTCTCTCTCTCTCTCTATTACCTCTTTGTCTATATTCTTATCTCTATTTCCACCTACATCTCTCTCTCTCTCTCTCTCTCTCTCTCCCTCTCCCTCTCTCTTGATTACCTCATTTATTAGCAATTTCGATAATAAAGCATGTCAATTTAAATCCTATTTGTCTCCTTCTCTATTTCTGTCCATTCCAACTCCCTGCTTCTACTGATATTTGTTTTTCTTCTCATTACAGCATTTTCTATGACTCTTTCACTAAGAAGGTTATGCCAAAAGAAATCCTTATGAAGTAGGTCTATTAACTATTCCTTAATATACTTTGGTATCCCTAAGAATCCTATGAAAATTAATTTCAAATGCATAAACAATTCTTTGAAATGAAATGAAATGAAAACACAATTCTCCTTTAAATATATCGTATGCCGAAGAGAAGTGATTAGCAGGCTCAACGGAGGAGTCGTCATCACGTCCCCCACTCAACATAATCACCTTCTAATGACGTATAATGATTCAGCGAGATTGGTGGGCTGGGCATATGCCACACATCATCCAACTTTTGATTATTATTATGCCCCCGCTTCTGAGAAGGAGCACCATAATTGTCATTTCGTATTTATTGGTCTCTCATCTCTGTCTCTTGGTCTCTCACTTGTCTCTGTCTCTTGGTCTCTCTGTCTCTTTCTGCTTTGTTCTCTACGTGCCCCTCCCCCTCTCCCCCTATTAGTCCCCCCCCCCCCCTCTCTCTCTCTCTCTCTCTCTCTCTTTCTATCTTTCGTGTCATCTCTCTCTCTCTCTCTCTCTCTATATATATATATAAATATTATGTACATAGACTGTTTTCTTTCTCCCCCTCTCTCTCCCCCCTCTCTCTCTCTCTCTCGCTCTCTCTCTCTCTCTCTCTCTCTCTCTCTCTCTCTCTCTCTCTCTCTCTCTCTCTCTCTCTCTCTCTAATTCACCTTAATCACCTTCTAATGACCTGACGCGATCGGTGGGGTTGTCATTATGCTACACTTTTCCTCATAATTCTTGAATTCGTTTAATGATCTGTTTCTTAACAGGTACATATTGTATTACGGTCTGGTTGTGCCCCGTTTTCCAGTGAAGGTGATCATTATAACAATATCATAACAATTATAAATAATATTTGACGTCAACAAACAATGCTGATCCGTGTCCGGAGCACAGTGTAGCTTATATTACTAACTTTAAAGGAATTTGAGGAGAGTACATTATACGATGCGAGTTCAGCTAGCATCATAGGCCTACAGCGATAGTGATACTGTTTTTTTCAATGATTGTTTATTCAAAATAATTATTTCATATATATATATATATATATATATCTTCTCCAATCCAAGTATATGTCTCCTTCTTGCCGGTTCAATGTACAATTAATCCCTTGGAGAATGTCTTGAGGTTCGCTGATACTAAACGCTTCAAAGATCAAGCTAGAAGGGAGGGACATACCGATCTGCTCTTGCTCTTATAGTTTGTCGAATTCTTGTATTTTTTTTATTAAATCTATTCCACTTTTGTTAAAACATATGGATTACACGGCAAATTAAATTTGGGATATTATTCGGCAAACATATTGCCCTATTTGACAAAATGAAGCCAAAAAAAAAGGGAGAGACGCGAGACATACCGACTTACTATCGCTTTAAGTTCATCGAATTCTTGAAGTTATATCATTAAACCTATTAAAACTTAACGTAAAAAACGGGAAAATGGATTCAGATAATAATCATGCAGCAGTATTTAGAAAAAGGGTAGAAACTGCCACCTGAAATGAGTCAAAACAGAAAATTAAATAATAACGAACATAGAACAAAATTGAGGTTTTCACATTAAAAAAATAAAGTCTATTTAAGGATGTGCACATATTCACTCTTTACATTGTAAGAAAAAAATTAGTCTTTTGGAAGTGAGGGGGCGCAGGGGTGGATCCAGGTTTTTCCAAGAGAACTATAGGGGCTCGAAATGTACGAAATTGCGAGCGCGAAGCCTTTACGGCGTGGGGTCAATGCGGTAAATGTTGAACCTTAAGATGCTCTATGGTACATTCTGAGCCATTTCTGAATGAGTATTTGTATGAACTTTTTTTGGGGAGGGGGGGGGGGGGGGGGGGGAGGGTGGGAGGTGCATATGTATATATATTTTGTTTTAAGGTAAAAGGGGGCATGCGCCCACGCCCCCTGGATCCACCCATGTAGCGAGGGTGAAGAAAAAATGGAGGGGAAAGAGAGAAGAGAGACAAGGAGAAGGGAGGGGAGAGATGAGGGGATAAAAGGAAGAGAGGGAGGTGAAGAGAGAGAGAAAGGTCAGAGGCATATGTGATAGACAGACTTGGGCTTGGACTCCCGTGGGTAGAGTGATAATATATTTATTCACTCGAATGTGTGTTAAGCGTGACAGTTCAAATTTATGATTAGCCCCTCAGTTTGTAATAAAAACTCCCCAAATAAAATGTAATCAATTATAAAAGATTATTTTCAAGTGTGTAAGGACCCTCATTTGTCTTGACTATATCAATCCAGAATTTTTCACAAGGAAAGAGGAAAGGAGGCCTGGAGCATTTTTGTAACAATTATTGATATTATTGATATTAGTTATTACTCCTGCTCCAGTGACACAGTCTCATACTTTTCATACAGGGGGGCTTATTACACCCTACAAGCTCTGCTTTTTAGTCGGCCCTCCTTCCCTTTCAATTTCATGTTTATTTTTTTTAATGTATTGTATTGTGAAAATTGATCTTTATGTATATAAATATGTGAATATGTTAAAATGTACCATCATTTTAAATATGAACGATTGAAAGAGGAAAAATAAATAAATTGAATTGAATTGAATAGAGATATATCTTTCGAACTACATAGCCCATAAAACTTCCCATTCTTTACGCCCTCTACGTTCGTAACTTGGTGAATGTTGTTATATGGTTACTGTGTGCATTTTTCGACCTATAATTAATTGATTGATTTATGCCAACAAATATGCCAGGTATGTAAATATTTCGTTATCATTTACTGTAGAAAAATAATGATGTGAGTGTGAGGATCTTTTGGAAGTACTGTGTCAACGTTTGATCGACAAATATGACTCAAACCAGCAGATATGATGATCGTCTTGGCTTCTCTGCCTCTCGGCGCGGCTTTGCCAGTGCATACGGCGGTGCTACGCCTGGCTTTGCGTCCCCCAACCCGGCCGGCAGGGCTGGACGCTTGTTGGGGACACCACGTCCATGGCCATGGACGCGGGTTGGTAAACTGAGCTGAGCCGGAGCCTCACGTTATGAGCGATAAATTCTTGGGGAGACGGACAAGCCATAAAAGTAGACAGTGAACTGGGGGTATTTTATTACGCGGAATCTGTTTTTCGCTTAAGAAGTTCTTAGGCATTTTCAATATTGCAATTTACTCAGAAAGAATGAACAAGAAGTGTGTGTCTGTGCTTGATGTTCTACTCTTAATAACCATTTCTATTTCCTTCACAGTTGGTAAGCAGATGGCCAGCGTGCATGAAGCTGTGCAGAATGGCGATGTCTTGGAGCTTGAGAATATGGTGAAGAGAGGAGCGAGTATCAATGAAGTTGACCGGAAGGACAAGTTCACTGCACTTCACTGGGCGTGTCATTGTGGAGCACTAGAGGTAAACAGCAATAGCGGGGGTTGTATCATCTTTCCATAATATTAAGGTGCTTTTAAATCCTCACCCCAAATTACTTCAATCACAAGTTGAATTAATAAATGTGATAAAAAACCTCTTACAAGTATTTGGAGCTAGAGATGAATCAATTTTTATTCATGAAACTCTTTTAAAAAATCATTTCAGTGATGACAATGATATGAAATAATAGATTTGAAGCTCTTTCATATTTTAAACTGATATATCACCTGGATCATGTGGTAGGATGTTGAGGACAATAATATAATTCAATATGTTATACTTTCATGCTAGTCACATCAAGGTAATACTGTTATGTACAATTGAAAGCAAGAAAAAGAATCTATGGTGGTGATACATCCAGAATAAGATATAAATAAATACTGTCTATGTAAGGATCTAAGGCCAAATAACAAAAATGAAGTGTTTGCCTCCTTTTTGGCCGCCTCCTCCTTTTTTTTTTTTTTTTTTACTATTTACTATTCAGAAGAAAAAAAGCCAGTGATGTACATTTTGTTTAAATAGCTTCTAAAGTGATACAAATCATTTGTTTTGTCATACATTGCATCAGTATACTCACATAGCACAATATCTGTGAATAAATAGGCTTGGCCAGCTATAATTGAAAAGTCCGGACGGGAAACACATTAATTTTGGTATTTGGCGTTATCCCACACAGAGTTAAATCCCATATCTGGCTCTCAGCAAGCTAATTATCAACTTTCTGTTCTCCTATCTAGTGTCTTCACTGGCTACTATGGCATGGAGCTGACCCTACAACCACTACACCCCAGGGCTGGACACCTGCCCATGTAGCGGCTATCAGAGGTCAAGACCAATGCATACAGGCGCTGACAGCCCAAGGGGTCAGCATGAATGCTCGTGACCTCAGAGGAAACTCGCCGGCCCATCTTGCAGCAGCCCACGGCAACTCATACACTCTGAGCTCAATACTTAGAGCAGGAACGGTCAGTTGGATAGTTATAGTACTACTGGGGGTGTTTCACAATGCCTTTTTTTCAAAAGAAATTTGCTGATAACCAATCAGAAGCAAGGATTTCAGTAGCTTATAACAAAAACTGTAATTTGTCACTGATGACAAGTTTTGTGAAATGCCCCCCTGGTTGGGTAGTGGTGGGGGAGGGGGGGGGGGGGGAATATATGGGAGTAATGAGTGAATTAGCTCTGGAAAACTGCAAGAGCTCTCAAAACAAACAAAAAACAAAAGAATCAATAAAAGTCAATTTTTTAATATGGGAAATCCAGAAAAAGTCCCTGCAAAGAAAAGGGTAACTTAGCCAGGGGTGGGCTTGTGAAAGCAATGGCAATAACAGTACTTTATAGGAAAGAAAACTACACAGGAAGCTGTATTACTAATATTGTTTGCCATACCAGCAATTATTTCAATTTTGAAAACTGAAATGACAACAAAATCTGTGACCTGAAAAGGATAAAAACGTACCCAGGCTACCTTTTATGTAGCACCTCATTTCAAGAATTAAGAAATTATGTGCATTTGCATAAGATATGTATTTGTTTTGCAAGGCTAGAATATGCAGCTCTGTCTAATCTAGAAAGGGGATACCCCTGTACATTTTGTTTCAGTGATCCTACCAATTATCTGTGCTTCATGGAATTCTGTAAAAGCTGTTACCCACAAAGGTGTTTCACAAAGATCCTAAGATGGACTTAATTATGGAAAGCTGTTAGCACCTTTGAAAATACTTTGTAAAAGTTAATCTTATAATTGCATAAAATGTTGATTCAAATTACTCATAGTTTTCTATTATCAAAGAGATTTCATGTTATTTATTTGGAATTTATGAAAAGTCTAAATAACTTGAATTTTTGCTGTTTAAATTTTTATTGTAAGGCTACAAATGGCTCTCCATAATTTTAAAGTCACACTTAGAGTTAAGTTTGACTTAAGATCTGTGTGAAACATACCCCAGACCAACAACAGGCCAAACAATGATTTACATAACTATGAATGGCAAAAAATCTGTTGATTTTGTGTCGGCTTGAAGTCATTTTGGAGTTTGTTTTGGCAGTGTGACTGAGGTGTTACCGGCACTCCTAATTTTATTTTGACAGGACAATGAAGGAAAGAACATAACCACCTGGACAGCGACGCACATAGCAGCATTCCATGGACGTCTGGGATGTCTTCAACTGCTTCTCAAGTGGGGTGCAAGAACAGACGAGGCTGATGGGAATGGAAACATTCCTGGTACGTACTTATTGGTGTAATATTGAAGCCCTAAAAAAATTGCACTTCAAAATGATCATGAAGTGCCTCAAAAAAGTAAAAATCTTTGAGTGACCGGTTTTACCATACTCATTTTCCCAAATAGACTGTAGTGTTATAAAAATTGTAGGAAAACGATTTGTGAAATTTTGATTTACAATCATAAATATCTTGATAATCAGACAGGCGATCAGCATTTACAAGTGATGGGGTTCCTGACTGACCTAAAGGTTTATAATTTTCATTGCAGCATGAGCTAAATTCAGGATTTTGTTTCAGAATCTGAGGCAATGGTACAGATCGAGTCATTTTAAAGGTTTTTTTTTAACTTTGTAAATATATATTGATTTAAAGTCAATCCAATTATTATCGCTATCATTTTTTTGCAGCTCACCTAGCAGCACAAGAAGGCCACCTCCCATGTCTGAAGTTCCTCGTCAGTAGCGGTGCAACCATCAGCGACACACTGGGTGCACGCAACGATAACGGTGACACGCCCAAAACCCTGGCATCTCAGTACTACAAGCAACACTGTGTTGACTACATCAATGCAGTCGGTAAGAAATTGATAATGATCCTTGTTAGTTTTATCATGCCTCCTGTCTGCTTAATGCCCAACGGTATTAAGTTTACTTAAAGTGATATGAGTTAGCACATCTCTGTCTTTGTCAGGAGATATGTTCTAACATTTGTGAAACAACATTACCATGTCTTGTCTCAAATTATAGGTATAGTTTTGTTGTGTATATATAGATATACACATAGCATTAGAAAAAGACCAACATTTGCTTTATGATGTTTGTTATTGAAATTTGTCTGCTGTATTACATTATGGATGGAATAATTTTATTGTTTCTTCATGCGATATAAATTAGAGTATGAGAGACATAAATTCTAAATTTGGCATATAGTGTGGAAATCTTGAAAGCATAGAAATTGCACTCAAGTAAATCATTTTGTTGTTATTATTAACATGTCCCTTTCAAAATTGAAACCTTCTATTATCTTTCTTAATTTGTAGAGCAGGTAATTCTATTTTAATTAATCATCATTAATTGGTAAAGGTAGTGAATGAAAATATTTCCTTCATATCTTACAGAAAGACATATAATAGTGTTTTATGAAATTATCTTCACTTTGGTATTTTTTCTTTTCATTTCTCCTTTTTTAATTAGAATGGGAGAGAGACCATCCAGAGGACCAAGAAAGTAAGTTCAAATTTGAATCCCTTTTATCGACCAGGGGGGGGGTGTTTCACAAAGATCCTAAGTTGAACTTTACTTTAAGTTAGTCTTAAACATTATGGAGAGCCATTTGTAGCCTTAAAATAAAATATATTCAAAAGCAAAAATGTAAGTATTTTAGACTTTTCATAAATTCCACATCAAGAACATGAAATCTCCTTGATAATAGAAAATATGAATGATTTGAATCATTATTTTATGCCTTTTAAAAATTAGTTTTGCAAAATATTTTCAAAGATGCTAACGGCTTTCCATAATGGTCCAACTTAGAGGTAAGCTCAACTTAGGATCTTTGTGAAACACCTCCTGGAATAAATATACGCTACTTAACTTGATAAGTATCCACTCTATCTCCTCAATGGCCAAACAATATGGATGATAATATCTTGAGTGAAAGAAACTCATTTGGAGTATATATAGTGGAATTAAGTGCTGCTATAATGTTTGACAATTTTCCAGGAAAGTGCCATATTAGAATATCATATTGCAATATACTGAGTAGATGCTTCGATATGATAAATATGGTTAATGAAGTTAAACTGACTTCTTTATATTGAATAAGGAATATTCATGACACATTAACATTATAAATCAAAGAATAAATACTTATATGTCAGTTTATAGTTACATTATGTAAAAGAGGCATCGTCCTGGTCATTTTACACAATGTTATAATCAACTCTGTGCTGTGGTGTCAGATCTCACAACCTGTATGTCATAATGTAATGCTTGACTCTCTTTTTGTCCTTGTTTTCAGATCTGGCCTTCCCTGCTCACATGTCCGCTGCTTCCGGTGACCTGGGTCATCTGAGACTACTCATTGAACAGGGAGTGGTCAACATCAATGAGAAAGATGATAAGGGCTCAACCCCAGCACACAGAGGTATGTCTGGGACTACATAACAAGGGTTCAGTGACACAAAGACGTAACCATATTTTGCCAAAATGAGTATTTGATATCAAAATGTCCAGAAAATGTGGGCTTTCCAGGAAACACAAAGACTTAACTCCACCCAACACCTCACTGAAGTCAATGGCTAGTGAAACATAGACTTAACTCTTGAAGCCCAAGTGCTCAGTGACACATAAACCACTTTTTCTCAAAATGGCCAAAATGGAGTTACGTCTCTGTGTCACTGACCCCTTCGATAAGCTTCTAATATGTTATGGTTTTTCTTTTTTCCTACGATAGGCCCATATGATACAATGTACCTAGAGGTGATTATTAAAGGATAAATTTCTTGTATTATCAATCTAGAAACTTCCCTTGATAATTATGGATTCCGTAAACATGATATATTTTTTAAGGCTAGCTCTTCTGACAAATTTTGAACAAATCAGTTTTTTTTAACTGAGTTCCCAAACTTAAAGCTTATCTGTACTAGTTTATAGGAAGGATCAGACCACCCTGCAAGTTCACTGGACAGGTGGTTTCTCATCAAGTCAGCTCTCAATTAACATAAGAAAAAGAGGATCATGGGGGACCAATGGTCACCGATTAGGCATTGTTTTCTATATAGAGGGAGCAAGTAGCTACAAGTAGGACAGTGTGGCTTTATAGACTTAATTAAGTCTCATTGACTATGACAACAATTTTCAAGGAAAATTTAAGGGTTTCACCTAATTTGCAGTGCACTAGTGCTACATGGTTCTCCGTGTCTAAAGAAAATTATTAAAACTTAGTACCAAACCCTGCTGAAATTGCCATTGTAAATGTGATTGTATATGTTTTGATATAATTAATTAAAATCATCTTATTTCAACTCTTTTCTTTTGTCTACTCCTTTTAGCTGCTGGTAATGGTAAACTGGAATGTCTTCAATGGCTCGTAGAGATGGGTGCAAACAGTAAGTAATACTTTCTTTCACTTTCTTTGACAAATAAAGGCAGCCTTAAGCTGTGATAGTATTCAACTCAATTTTCATTCCAAATATAATTATATGTAAAAATATGAACTCAAACCAACATTGTGAAAGTCTTGTTTTCCTGCTGTTATGTATAAAATGCAGTATTACACAATTTATGACATAATTAAGTCAATGTCATTAAATATTCAACGATAAATTCAATTGAGCAAGAATAGTGTTCATTGGCTTTTCATGACTCTGGTATGACACACTCTGTATCCAACTGTCAATATTATGTTTTCTACTTTTTTTCTTCTGTTTCTGATAGTTCATGTCCAGAATAGCGCTGGAGAAACTCCCATGGACGTAGCCCACCGCTTCGCTCAGCTAGCTTGTGTTAAGCTACTCAAGGGAGACGATTCAGGTAATACAAGACAAGGAAAATCATCACGCACCACTATAGCACATTGAGCTTTTACATATACTATAAATAGAGGATGTATTCTTCAATGTTTAAGCTGTATTTTTTTTCTTCTTAAAACTGTCGACATCATCTAAAAAACACACAACTTATTTCAACTATCTTATCCAACTCCAGCTGTTAAGACTTTAGGTTACCAATTACTGTAATTGTAACTGTAAAAACGATCTCTGTACATTTTTACCAGTGAAAAAAAAAATTCTGAATGAACAATAAGTACTTAATAAGCAGAAAAATATACAAAGCAAGTTAATTTATTTTACCTATGAAACTTCCAAAAGAGATCTTGAGCATGAATAACAATAAAACATATAGAAATGGCTTCATGGCAATCCTACCTTTCCTATGAATAATATAGAGCTCCTGTGAAAAATAAGGTATTCTTTTTATCATTGATGTCTTTTTCAATTTCTCCTATTGTGTAGATTCTGATGTGGAGGTGATGGGTGGTTACTCTGACCCTGAAGAAAGACAGGACAAACTTCTTCAGAGGTCTACTGATCATGGCTTGGAAGGAGAGAGTATTGTTTTATCTCCAAGACAGAAAGAAGAAGCTAGAGGTAAGGACGTCCTCTACGTTGAGGCGTAGCTGAGAGGGGAAGGGGGGGAATGGGAGGGGGAGGGGGCTCATGACAAACTTCTTCAGAGATCAACTGATCACGGCCTGGAAGGAGAGAGTATTGTTTTATCTCCAAGACAGAAAGAAGAAGCAAGAGGTAAGGGCGTCCTCTAGGGTGTGGCGTTGCTGGGAGGGGGGAGGGAGGGAGGGGAAGGGGCAGGGGGCACATTTGACAAGCTTCTTCAGAGATCAACTGATCATGGCCTGGAAGGAGAGAGTATTCCTCTGTCACCAAGACAGAAAGAAGAAGCTAGAGGTAAGGGCGTCCTCTACGTTGCGGCGTAGCTGGTGGGGGGGGGGGGAAGGGGGCTCAAGAGAAACTTGCAGAGTGATCAATGCATCACAGCATAGAAGGGGAGAGTATCCATTTGATCTAAAAGACGGAAAGAAGAAGCATGGGCTAAGGATGCTCTCTACATAGCGGTGCAGCTATGAGGGGGAAGGGAGTGGGAGGGAAGGTGCAGGGGCACATGTGACAAAGTTCTTGTGTGACAGAAAGAAGAAGCAAGGGGTAAGGACACAATGGCTTATCTATGTAGGGTTGGGGAGTGGAGTGATGAGAAGAGGGGGAAGAGGGGAAAGGGAGGAGGAGGCCACAAGACAAATTTTGTCATAGAAGTACTAATCTACTGATCATTGCCTGGAAGGAGAATCTATCCCTCTATCCGCAAGACGGGTAAGGGAGGCCATCCTATGATTATATCTCAATCTCGCTCAATCACACAAAATTGACAACTATTATATTACATTGAATCTTCATCTGTTGGTTTCAGTAGAATTAAAAAATTATTATAAAACATTTTTTTTAAGCGTTCGTGGTACATGATATTTGAAATACCAAAACTGCCTCTGTTCCATATCTTTGCTAGGCCGAGCTATAAAGCGGGTCGAAGAGCTAGAAAGACTCATCGGCATCGCTAAGACCAATTTCCACCAGCTTGGAGGAAGGCTTGATGAAGACCGGGAACAACAACGCAGGGAGAGAGAAAGTGATAGGTAAGTATGGCATTGAGAATTCAGACTTCAAAAAGAACAACGTGCAAGATTGAGATAATAAGGGGAAAATATGGATTTAAATTGAACTTATCAATTACAGTGAAGCCTGTATATAAGGATCGTTCAAGGGAAACATGATAAGTGGTCTGTATAGGTAAGAGGTCTTTGTGTACGGATTCCTGTAGTACAGGTTTAAATGAGAAACCATATAAAAGAGAAACAGAAAAAAAATGTGATCTTTACTTTATAGACAGGTTGTCTTTCTATACAGGTGGTTGCTAAAGCAGGTTTGACTGAATAACATTCTTTGTTAATATGTCATTAATATTTTTTTGAAATAAGATAGAAATTCAAGTAATGGTGAAAGAAGAAGAGGGTAGTGTTGCGAATATGATATTGATAGTGATTAATATCTTATTGAGGGATCCTGTGAAGGAGAGTCGTCATCGGTAGACCCTGATAGAGAGATAATTTTTTCAATTTCGATTCAATTCATTTATTTCAATCCTAAAACCATAAAATAATATATATAAAACAGTAACGTGAAACAATCATAATCTTACAATTCTGGAATGAAGAAAATAGAGACTAAAAAGGAAGTTTGAAAAACTTGTAAGTAATAGTCCCCTGACATAAATAATAAATAACAAGATATTGCCCGCACATTCTTATCAGTTATACCAGGAGGAGCGACTAGAGGTTTTTATGCCTCCGCCACCGAAGGTGGTGCCGGAGGCATCATGTTTTCGGGTTGTCCGTCCGTACGTCCGTCCCATTTGACCGTTATCACAATATCTCAAGAACCATTTAAGATTTAAACTTAAGACTCGGGAATAGTATTTATCACCATAGGAAGACGATCTGATTACATTTTGGAGCACGTAGGTCAAAGGTCAAGGGTCACAGAGGTCAACTTATGAAATTCCATACATTGAGATTGTTATCATAATATCTCAAGAACCACTGGAGATTTAAACTTCAAACTTAATGATAGTGTGTATCACTATAGGAAGACAATCTGATTAGATTTTGGAGCACGTAGGTCAAAGGTCAAGGGTCACAGAGGTCAACTTATGAAATTCCATACATTGAGATCGTTATCGCGATATCTCAAGAACCACTGGAGAATTTTCACTTCAAACTTAATGATAGTATGTATCACCATATCATAATATCTCAAGAACCACTGGAGATTTAAACTTCAAACTTAATGATAGTGTGTATCACCATAGGAAGACAATCTGATTAGATTTTGGAGCACGTAGGTCAAAGGTCAAGGGTCACAGAGGTCAACTTATGAAATTCCATACATTGAGATTGTTATCATGATATCTCAAGAACCACTGGAGATTTAAACTCCAAACTTGTTCGCCTATGCCCTATGGCAGAGGCATCATTTTCGACTGCGCGCAGTCAAAATTCCATCTAGTTTTTTCATGATTTCAAGTGTTTTTTTCCCTTCCAGCTAGACACCAGAGAAAACAATTAGATGATAAAGAATGAATAAATTCATTATGAAATATTGATCCATACGTTTGTATTTCCTTTGTGAAGGATGTTGAAGGAATTGGAATCACAGCTAGAGTATGAGAGACTGAGGAGAGAGAAACTGGAATCTCAGTTGGATGAATGCAGGGCAGAGATCCAGCATCTTAATGCCATGCTGGAAAGAGCTTCAAATGTAGCATATGTAAGTCATTTTCTGCAGTCAAATACATTTTTCTCACTCTAATGAACATGTGATTTATGTAAAGTTCAGCACTGGTCATGCATAATTGATTGTGAAATAAAAACTGTTGATAAGCTATTCAGAACCATCGATTATGTAGTATGTAAGATTAATTGTGTGTTATGATGTCATGAAAATCATTAAAAATTTACTAAATTTAACTTAAAATATCAAGTAATGAAGAGCACTTCATACAAATAATGGTCCATGGGACTACTCAAACGTATGGCATTAGGATTTGGTCCAAAGCCTTTCTAAGTATTTGAGAGCATTTTACCCATTGCCAAGGCTCTAGTATGTACATTTTCTTTTCATTTCATTTCATTTCGTTTATTTATTTCCATGTCAAGATAAAAACAATATTATATAATCCTCAAAATATAAACATATATAATGAGATATCTAAAGTGTGAGGATCATAAATATTTCATGAATGGCTTCAACTTTGGTACATAATTTACATAAAATCAGGATTACAAAAAAAGGGAAGATTACAAAAACAGAGAAAAGAAGGTGGAAACATTGCATAAACATTGACATTGTAAGTTATTAGAATTTTCCAAAAAGAAATTGCTTTTATAGTCATTTAATTTGGTTAATTTTCTCACTATTCTTAATTGATAAAGGGATGTTATTCTTGACTAATGTCTTCTTCTTCTTTCTATTATTTGTTTTTCTTGATACAGAGTGAGGAAGAGGCCAAACCTAAGAAGACGAAGAAGAAGAAGAAACGTCCAGTGTCAGCAGGAAGTGGAGGGGTTTTTGTCAAACGGACAATCTCCAAGGCACCCCAGAATCTAGAACTATTCTAAGCCCTATGCAGGACCCAGACCCAGTACCAACGGCCGGATAATCTAACCTGGACCTTTGCCTAGCCCCTCTAAGATCTAGACCTGTTTTAAGTCCTGTGCAGGACCCAGACCCAGTACCAATGGCCAGATAATCTAACCTGGACCTTTGCCCAGCCCCTATAAGATCTAGACCTGTTTTAAGTCCTGTGCAGGACCCAGACCCAGTACCAACGGCCAGATAATCTAACCTGGACCTTTGCCTAGCCCCTCTAAGATCTAGACCTGTTTTAAGTCCATTGCAGGACCCAGACCCAGTACCAACGGCCAGATGATCTAACCTGGACTTAAGATCTATACCTGTTTTAAGTCCTGTGGAGGACCTAGACCAGTTATCTAATAGAACCAATGTTGAGAGGCAAATAAGATGGTAATTTAAGCTGGACTCTTGGAAAGTCGCCTCAAAATCTAGACCTGTTCTAAGTCCTGTACAGGACTTTGACCCATATTTTAGTACTAATATCAAGAGAGCAATAGCCATGTAATTAAGTTGGACTCTCGCCAAGCTACCCCCCCCCCCCCATTACATATTTCCGTAGTCCTTTTGAGGACTTAATTTTATACCCAATGATGGGTGGAAGCTAAGTCTTTAAGTAGAATTTGACAAAGGAAGCAAGATCAATGCCCAAATTGTGTTTCCATCGTTAAAAGCTAGCTTAGACCTAGCAATCAGGTTTAACTGAACTAGTAAAATACATACTGATTTTTTAATCCCACCTTCACAAGAATGTGGCTTGTTAGTCCCACCAAACTATTGATTGTGAAGAACGTCCTATCTATACAGGAGGCTCAATAGGCTCAGTGGTAGACCAGTGGTCTCATAACTGGGAGGTACAGGGTTTGAAACCAAGTCTGTGAGCTAGTGTCCTTTAGTAAAGCATTGATCCTCATTACCAAGTCCCTCAGTGAGGACTTTATGCTATCCGTACCCTGGTTGATTACTTAAGAGCAAACACATGCTTTCTTATCAGTTGGGTAAGACAAACAAACAAACAAAATAAAATTATCAATCCAAAAGAACAAACAAGATTCCTGTGTAGTTAAGAGTTAGAACGGCATAACTGCTCTTTTGAATTATTGAAGTTAATTCTCTTTGGCTCTCAACATACATTCACTATGAACATGACTGACAAAGAAAGCGGACTAAATGTGCAGTTCTTCAGGTAGACAAAGGAACATCCTTTCACTGCTATTATGTAAAATGTGTAGAACAGGTGTCACATGCATATTCACTTTTTACATAATAGAAGTGAAGGGATGTTCCTTTGTCTACCTGAGGAACTGTATATTTTGTCCGCTTTCTTTGTCCGTCTTGTTCATAGTGATTGTGTTGGTTGAACATAGAAGGTGGCTAGCTTCAGTTTTACCTTTGACTTTCAAAAAAATATTAGAAGTATGAGATCATAACTGAATAATAAAAATATTCCAGCAATATTCTATGGAAATCCAGAGCACTTGTAACTATTTTTCTTAGAGAAGTTTCAATCATGTTAATTTAATGAATAGAAATGGTTAAAATGTTCTAAATCTCATGTATTTGTGCATTAAATGTATTCAGCTTGTCAATACCATATGATGGTCTCATCAAACAAAGCGATCAAAACAGTTTAAACAAATATTTTGGTATTTATTTTTGAAAAACAACTTGATTGAGGATAGAAAACTAGAGGAGGAATCCAAATAACATAACTGCCTATTAGCAGATTGAATTATAATTTCTTTAAATGTTAGAAGGAAAAGAATATTGAAAAAGGCACAAGATTGCATTAGAGTTTGTGTGCCTTTAACACAATTTAAATACTTTCCACTCAAAGTTGTGCAGTTATTTTATGTATGAAAGTTTTCTCTGATTGAGTTTGGTTTCATTGGAATCTATCATTCTCGTATACAGGGACGTTTTTTAAAGGATTAACTTTAGTGATCCTGACTTTAACATTGTACTTTATTACAACGTGAAGTGAAAACTATGTGTCCCTTATAGTTGCTCCATATTTTCTGCAAATGCATCATGCTTCTCGTGAGGCCTAGAGTAAGGTATATTTATGATTCTGTACATAAATTATTGTAATATTTTATCAGACCTTGAAATTCCAGTGAGATTTTATTATATTGTATACATATAGTATCATGTGCCGTCAATAAATGATTGTCATCATTATTTTTGTGAAATGATGAGGTTTACCATACTGCAAAATGGAGATGAAGAGAGAAAGAAAAAAGAAGCATCATGTTCAACTCCAAATTTTATTTAAAATGAGGCAAGATATTCAATTTCTGTAGTATGATGATCTTGTACCCCATTGTGTGACTTTATGCCATCTTTAATGAATGTACATTTATAAAGTGGTAAGTGATAATAGCTACAAATATTATGTGATGGTAAAGAGTGCGTATGTAAGAATAGTGGTTGTCTCATGCTTGTACTAAAGCCACTAGCTGTAGCACCTTTATAATACGCCAACATACATGTATTCTGAAATGGCATCTTATTAGTGAAATATTCTGAAAATATTCCTCGAAAGTGTTTTTTTTTTTCTTCATACTAGTATTATGTCTTGCAATTGTTGGAAATAGAAGGAAATTTATCACTCTTACTTTTAAGTTTCCTGTCCTCTATTAAATAGAATTATTCATACATTATCATCAGTCATTGAATTATGTAAATCAGTGTTTTGTTTTGTCAATAAATATATCTGGAATATGCTGAATACTGCTCTTGTTTCTTTTTGTATCAAGTATTCCAAGATTAATCTCCCCCTCTTCTCATTTTATGTTCTAGTTATTACTCTAGATGCAACAATCCATTTGTAAATATCACATGGTGATCTATTCTTCCTGCATACAGATTGGGGAGGGGGGGGGGGTATTTATTGACCCCACCCCCCCCCCCCCCAAACAAAAAAGAGATTTATAGATAAAATAGTGGGTATCTTGATGAAGATGATTATCATGATGATTTCAATGATAAAGATTAAATTGGTGATATGATGATGGGGATGATGATGATGATGGTGATATTAACGATAATGAGAAGGAGGAGAATCAGATAATTTTTAGGCATAAGAAGGATTAACATATCGAAATGAGCATGCTCTTTTCTCGCATTTTAGTGGGTACCGCTACATGGTTGTTACAGGATTAATATATTTTCCCCTCCTCCCCCCCCCCCCCCCCCCCCCCGACGTCATAGCTCCCTGACATTATCAGTCAGGCGGATCATTGCGTAGTATGACGTCACGATGTCTCCGTCCATTTCTAATGATTAAAATGAATTCACACACAAAAATCACATCCCCTCAAACATTTCAAAACCTGTTTGTTCGGAACATCATAAATGTGTCTACATTATCAGCCGGATTATTACGTCATTGCGTAGTATGACGTCACGATGTCTCCGTCTATTTTTAATGATTTAAAAACTTAATTTTCATTTCCAATTATAGATAAAGCGATTGACATTTTCACCAACCTTTAGGAGATGCCTGCTCTGAACTTAAAGCGTGTCAATTTATCTATTTCGGGCAATGCCTGATCATAACAAGACACGCGTTAAAAACAAATTGTACCAGGGCTAATTTTAGTCGATAGATGACTTTTTCATTTAATTTGGACGGTGCTCGATACGGACGTTGAGTATCTTGAGTACCTGTCATAAATAAAGTGATTAACATTTTCAGCTTATATTGGCTAGCTCATGATTGTTTTCTTCCATTTTGAATCGCAATTGAAAGAGTATACGATTATTGGGAGAATATCAATCTTTGTCCAAATCTGATATATTCTTGACAAAAAAGCTTGAATACATCAAGTTATAGTTTGAGACTTGCCCGACATAGCAGCGATCATTAAGTTGCATCAAGCTATAATACATCATATCCCTGGCTTGGTCTTTGTGAGAAATAACAAGTCCAACAGTAACTTCAAAACATGTTTACAAGAATCTCAGACATGAGTCTAGGTTAATGAGCGGTTCATTCGTTTCTGTTTCATTGTTTCTGCTTATAGATTTAATTGCTCCCCCCCCCCCTCTCTCTCTCTCTCTCTCTCTCTCTCTCTCTCTCTCTTTCGCTGTCTCGTCCCCTTCTCTCTCTCTCTCTACTTCTCATCTTACTCGCTCTTTGTTTTCTTACTCTTCTTAATCTCTGTCGTATTCTTTTCAAATCTCTATTTCTGTTACCTTTTCTCTCAAACGCTGCTATCATGGTTACACGTTGTCCAGATATCACTTCCTCTCTTCTCCTCTTTCTCTACAAATTTACTCCTTTTCTTTCGTGACTATATATATTAAACATAAAGATATAAATACAAAATGATATATAAAGGAATCACACACAAAAATAAAACAAGAATTACAGAAATGACATATATACTTAAAAACAGTTATGAAGAAAAACTAGCAACAGATGAAAAACAGGATATTAAAGAAAATTATGCAAAAGGTGGCCTAAAAATCATCTTGGTAACAAACACAAGAGGTATATCTAGGGTAGGAAGTGACTTCATACCAATGCTACCATGGTTTTCTTTGCTCGAATGTTTTGATGAACAAGGCGAAGGAGATCATTTCATTTCATTTCATTTATTTTCGTTATTTCTTATGGTACATATTCATATCAAAATAAAGTACAATTTTTATATTTTTGTGTGTGTGATACATTAACAATCAATAATGCATAATAAATAACACGAAGATAAGTGTTCAATATATAGAGTACCGATTTAACTGAGAGAAATATGATGGGACCTACATGAAAGCAAGCTTGTAAAGCTTTAGGCCCCGGTGAAATAATTTGTGGTTGTGTTACTGAGAAGTAAATAATGAACAGATGAGAACAAAAGGGATCCTTAGTTTATAGAAGAAAAACAATTATAATACTTTTTCCTTTTTTTTACAGCTTAACAAACCATGATAAGTATATTCTTTAATAAACCATAATGAAGTAGATATAACTCACTGCTTTGGGAAAAACACCCCTTTGTAATGTTAAGATGTACATTAGGGAAGTTTGTATTAATAATCATTGTAATGTTTATGTGAATTATCTGTTCATATTGATACAAATATTATTTTTTAATGTGCTAAATATTATCATTATTATCTTTCACGGTCGTACCATCAAGCTGTGATTTTATTTTTGTTTTTACAAACCCTTAAGTGAGCTCCTAATTATAGACAAAAGTGAATTTTAATTAATATCAAAGTTTCGTCACAATAATTGTTTTCCAGTTTCCTAGAAATTGTCAATTTCCTTCCCTAAATAAGCTTGTGGGTTGAAGAATTAAATATGTACTAAATGGCATCTTAGTTCTTAATAAGTGATTAATTCCCCCCCCCCTTTTTTTTGTTGTTGTTTTCTTTCATCTCTTAGCGAGTCAGCCATGGAAGCAGGAACTGGTCAAACTCTGTCGTGTATAATTCCGTAAAGGGACACTACCTGATGTGCGTACGCACGTGACTCCACGAAGCTCAGGCAGCGCAGCTTCCGTGATCACGTGCACGTCGATTGAGACGCCACGTCATTGGTTCACCGCTAATGACCAGCGTCTTAGCGTCTTACTGGGGGATTTCCCCTTCTATTCGGTCAATACTTCTGTCTTTTCGTGGGTTGAAGGGTTTAATACGTACTTAATTGCGTTTTGGTTCTTAATAAGTGATTAATTTTCACTTTTGTTTACTTTCTTTCATATCTTAGCCAGTGTATTTCAAGAGTGGGAGGGTGCTATCGAAGCTTTCCAAAGAAACTTGATTAATTAAATGATAGGTCATCTTCTCTTTTGAAAGAATAATGATTAAAACAATTAATTCGCTTTATTGCTTGAAATTTATCATTGAATTTTGATTGACTTCACTTACGTAGGATGGCTGTGGGGGCGCTGTTAGCAGGATGGTGCTGCAACCGCGTAGCTAGGGTTTCATTTTAGGGGGCGGGGGTCAAGTGCGCAGCGCGGAAGCTT